CCCCCCCCAAAAAAAATAAATAGCAGATCCTCTCCGTTGTTCCCCTCCTTCCCGTGCTGGCCAAACTTCCCCAAAGAGAACAGAAGTGGCTGCTTCCTTTGGCTCTCACCCCACTTTACAGCCTTTCTGACCTTCCTGAACCAAGAAGCTTGGAATCCTTCACCTCTCTTAAAGGGTCCCAGGGTTTTCTGTGTGTGTATGCACACGAGATGGTACTAAGGCTTGAATTTAGGACCCTGAGTTATTTTACTCAAGGCTGGTGCTCTTTGAGTCACAGTTCCATTTCTGGCTTTTTGGTAGTTAATTGCCCTGGCCTCAGATCTCAGCCTCCTGAATAGGATTATAGGCATGAGCCACTTGTGCCTGGCTTTCTTCCTGGCTTACACTTTGATATGACCACCTGACCATCCTCCCCTTTCCTCTTGCCCTCTGGTGACTTCTGAGGACTCTGCATGTGTCTGGGCACCTGCTACCTTCCTGACCTTCCTTCTCCAGCGTCTCTTCCCACGCAGGGCAGAGAGCCCTCCCCTTGCTCAACCTTTGGTGATTGCATTCTTAACCTTTGACAGTGCTTTTGCACCCAGCCTTTAGCTCTAAGTCTTGATGTCTAACCCCTGACCTCTCTTCTAGCCCTGACCTCTTTTCTGGGCATCAGTCAGAGCTTTTGCATGTTTAGTTCAGGACTTTCATCTAATAAGCCTCTGGTGTGGGTGTACCTCCAGGCTGTGGGCTAGGGGGCTACAAAAATAGGTAATAGGTGTGGTGAGCCTCACTCTCAGGAGCATGAGCAGGTCAGGGGAGGTAGGTCCTGTTCAAGTAGATGTTTTTGCTGGCAAACAAGAAGCGCTCACCTCAATGAGCAATGAGGAGAGTAGTTCACAACCCAGAAAGCTCCAGAGAAAGTATTTGGCTGCCCCCAATTTGGTCTTTTCTGCTGTTGTCTCACCATATAGCTCAGGCTAGGCTAGGCTGTACTCAAACTCATGATCTTGCTGAAGCCCAGCTTTCTGACTGCTGGGATTATAAACATGCGCCACCGGGACCAGCTCCAACTCACCATGAAAACCAAAGTCCGTGTTACCTCTCCCACCTGACTTCATTTCTGTTGTTGGTACCACTGACCGATAGGGGATTGTAGCTCGGTTACTTTGAATGCTCTCAGAGCTGCTCTGCATACAGTTGGTGCTCAATAAAGACTTGTGCAAGAAGGGAGAGGATTGTGATTTGAGGCCAGTGAGACACTGTCTTAGAAAACAAACTACAAACAAAACACAACCCCTCCCCCGCCCCCTCAAAACAATCTTGTGCAGCGAATACAAGCTCCCACAGGGCTTTCTACTCCTAAAACCTCACCTCCATTTCTGCACCACCTGCTGGTGCCTGGCACACACCTCCAGTCTCCCCGCTTTCTATTCACATTGTGAGGGTTTGCTGACGCTCACGTGTAGCTCTCTTTTCTGACCTGGTGGGTTCCTAGAATGAAAGAATGTTTGCATCTCACACCTGGCAGGGTGTCTACCTCACTCAGGGTTCAGAGTGGAGGTTACTCCAGTGTGAGACGGAGCTGCCTGTCAGAATTGGCTGTGTATAAACCCAGTTTACCACAGCCACGGTCCCTAAGTAGCCCCTCCTCAGGGCAAGCTAATGGAGCATTCTCCTTTGGGCCAGAGGCCTGGGTCAGAGGAGCGTAGAGGCTAAGGGTTAATTAAGCACACCGCAGAGTACAATTAGAAAATGCGATGTCGTAGAGAAAAAGAATTTAGACTTACCACTGGGGTGCTGTGGGCGCCTGGCGCTTCCTCTGTGTGGGGCTCTGACCTGGCACGTACCCCTCCCCGCACTCAGGGAGAAGGACTGAGAGTAAGATCTCCATAGTACATGGCAGACCCTCCCTAAGTCCACCTCAGGGCTTAGTAGTGAGCACCCTCAAAATGAAGACAGGACCCATTTCCCTCTCGAGCCAGGGGCTCCTAGATGACGCTGGCCAGGTTTTCTTCAAGCTCGTCTCCTCTTGCTCTGTTCCACAGGCTGCCCGGACCCCAGAGGAGGCCTCCGTGCCCCGGGCCATGGTCCCCTCTCGCAGGACGTGGAACCTGGGAGCCACGCCCTCACTGCGGGGCCTGTGGAGAGTGGGCCGAGCCCCGGAGCCCGAGCTGGGGATGGCTCGCCCCGCCCCAGCCAGCCCAGCTGCCCGCCCTTTCCCACACACCGGCCCGGGGAGGTTGAGAACTGGTGAGTCCGCATTTTTAAAATGCCTCTTTATTTCCCTTCCTTCCTCCAGATCCCAGAGATGAGACTGAGGTTTCTCGGTTCCTAAACTCAGAGCTGTCAGGTAATTACAGGGTAGCTGGCAGCCCAGGGCCGGGCGGGCGTCAATCTGGCAGAGCTCCTTCCCTGCATCCTGCCCGGGAGGAGGGCAAGGCTCGGCAGCGGGTTAAACTTTTTAACAGTCTGCAGTACAAGGGAAGCAGCCACGTTCTCCCTGGCTTAGCCAGGTTGGGGCAGGGGGTGGAACTCCGCGATCTTGCCAGGGGCTCATCAGCGGTCTCTACCAGAGGCTGGTAAACAAGGTAGGTGAAGTGGCCGCCGGGCTGGGCACCCTGTGTGGTACTGACACCTGATCCTGTCCAGACTCACCCTGGGTTGGTGTGAGGCGTGGACTCCGGCGGGATGTGGGTGCCTTGTGCTCCAGCTTAGCCTTGCCACAGCCTGTGGTGCCTTCTGTAGAGACCTAGACAGCAGGTGTGCAGGGAGAGGGTCCCTCTGTGTGGGTCCCTGCTGTCCCCTGGGGAGCTGTCAGTGCCAGCTCCCCTTTCTGGGTCATGTCCCAGGTACTGTGAAGGTGGAGGAGGGAACAGCATCTCCGATTGTGGGTGAGGGCTGGATTGCCCAGATTACCCTCTCCTGCCTCTTTTGCTCTCTTGGGCAGATGGCCCTGGTTGTGTGGGGAGATGGCTTTCCAGGTCAGCTGGACTTCAGGAGTTTGCTGTCTTTGGCTTCTGATCTGTAGGGAGAGAGGTTCAGATTACCAGTCTGACCCTCTGGGCCATTATTAGGTCTAAACCCATCTGTGCACAGAAAGGGAAACTGAGGCACAGCACACTTCTGACTTCTTCCTCTTCATTTGCTCCTTCAGTGGTGGCCACAACAGTGCCTTCCAAGGTCTCCCAGCTCCTGGGGTTGCCCGAGGCTGGCACTGGCTTCTCCCAACACCAGAGCTGTTCTGGGGGAGGGATCCCTCCAGGGACGGCTGGGGCTTGTGATAGGGAGACCTGGTCATCTGACAGGGGCAGATGGTCTCCCCCCAATGATCTCTACTGAGGGGTGTATAAATGTGATATGAGTGTAGCATCTCTGGTTAAAAAATAAAGCAATAGCATTTCTTCTTGGAAAACTTTAAAAGCCTACAGAAAAATAGATGTCATTGCGCATTTTGCGCACTTCTTTCTGGTTGTATTTATGTGTATGTGTGTGTACACATGCTTGTGTGTGCATGTCTTTGAAATCAATGGAATGACATAAACTTTTGTCTATTTTTTTTGGTCAGTTGTGGGGCTTGAATTCAGGGCCTGGATGCTGTCCCTGAGCTCTTTTTCTCAAGGCTAGTACTTACCACTTTGAGCCTCGGCGCCACTTCCAGTTTTCTGGTGCTTAATTGGAGATAAGTGCCTTATGGACTTTCCTGCCTGGGCTGGCTTTGAACTGTGATCCTCAGATCTCAGCCTCCTGAGTAGCTAGGATTACAGCAGCCAGCTGTTTTTTGTCTACTTTGAAAACTTAAACGAAGGTCAAATAAAACACCCTGTATGGAATGTGGGTCCAGAGCCCGGCACGAGGGTAGGAAGGTGGGGGGGGGAGGGAGGGAGGGTCTCAGCCTTGAGCCCTCTGAGGCCCCTCCCACGCTCTCCCTTATTGCCATCCTGAGCAGGATAGATTGGAAGGGTCAGTTGGTACAGGGAATTTGAGTGCTGGCTCTGACTGAGCACTTTGTTGATCTTGTGATTCTTTACCTGTGAAAGAGAAGAATGTTCTCCTCCCTCCTCAGTGGTCATGATGAGCACATTAGCTCGTTACCTTGATGGCCTGTGCTGGTCATTTCCTGTGTACTTGACACCAAGTAGGCACTTAGTCTTGGTACTGAGTAGGCACCGTCTGTGTTTGATCTCATTTAAGCCTCAACCGAGGGCTAGGTAGTTGGTTTGCTGTCCCCAACTTCCAGACAAACACACTGAGGATCCAGAAAGCTCTGGGCCCAGAGCTTGGCCCTCAGAACCTAGGTCTGCCCCTGGGGCCGTGGCCCTGCAGTGTGCCCACTTCCCTGCCCTGTCCTGGCTGCAGTGGGATGTCATGTCCCGAGGGTTCTCAGTTTAGCTGGCTCTCTAAGTGTGCTTTTGGAGAGAACAGGAACCAGGCCACCCAGTGTGGGTTTTGGTCTTAATAAAGGCTGGGTAGAAATTGCCACCTAGAGGCAGCTTGGGTAATGAAGCCACAGCCCTCGGGTGCACCTCACTGCTGGCATTGGCTTCTGGCTGCTTTCCACAGAGCGCTTCTGAGCAAGTGGGGGTCTCCAAAGCCACTATGCGGGAGAGGAGCCCCCTAGAGGTATCTTGGCACCCTACAGAAGAGAGTCGAGCCTGCCTCAGTGTCTTTGTGCATGACAGACCTATGAGGCGAGTGGGATCCTGCTGGTCAGGGTGCTGGGCTACAGCAGGGTACAAAAGCTGGACTCAGCGCGGCCCTGGCCAATGGTTCATAGCCAGCTCTCCCAGAGTCTCACTTATCTCTCTGTGCTGGGACAGGGCGTGGAAAAGACACCCCGGTCAGTGGTGACGAGGACCCCAGCACTCGGATTGCAGCCCGCCCGGCCCTGGCACAGTGCAGAGCCCTCAGCGTGGACTGGGCTGGCCCGGGGAGTCCCCACAGGCTCTACCTGACAGTGCAGGTAAGCACAGGGGCTCTCAGCAAGTGTGTGTGTGGGGGGGTGGGGGTGGGGGGTATGAACTGGAAGGTGCTGACTCCCCCAGCCTCCCCCCACCTTGTGCATGTGTATGTGGAGCCTTGTGTCCCAGCCTGTATGCTGAAGTTGGCTTCCTCAGCTATCACGCCGCTGATCTCAGGGGAGGTGACCTGGCCTTCCAGCCACGCCCAGGCTGAGGTGTTGAAGTGGGAAGATGAGATGGGCCTGAAGGGAGGAGGTGCTGGGAGAACAGGCTGGTGTGGGGTAGCTGTTTGTGTCTGCTGCGGCTCTGGCCTGTGAGTCTGAGGACCATTGCTCACATTTCCTTGTTTGAAGCATGAGAATCACATCTAGACAGAGTCTTTACCAGAACCCCAGTTCCTTCCCCTTACAGTTGCCACTGACTCTTTGAATGTCTGTGCCGGTGCAGGGGCGCAAACTCCTCTGGGCCTCTGGATTGGCTTTTGTTGTTGTTGTTCATGGCTGCTGCCCTACCATTTGAGCCAGGCCTCTGATTATTTTTTTTGGTTTTTTGGATATTTTTTGTTGAGTGTTTTTGCTGGTGATTGGAGATAAGCATCTCTCTGATTGTGTCTGTGCAGCTGGCCTTAACTGGGATCCTTTCATCTCAGCTTCCTGGGTAGCTAGGATTACAGGCATAAGCCCCCAAGCCCAGCTTCTCATTGACTTTTACTAGGCATATCATAGAGATCTATGTGTGTGCTTGGTTGTAAAAAATAGCACATAAAGATAGACATAATGATTACTATTCGCTGATTGCTGTCCCTGAATACAGGCCTTGAGCATCTGATTGGTTCTCTTCAACTCCTAAATCTTAAGATAAAGGTACTGTTTTTTTTCTGAGTTGTGTGAGTAAAAGAATGGAAGCCCAAAGAGGTGAAGTAATGTGCTGCTGGTCACACAGTGAACCAGAACCTAAACCCCGGAACACAACTAACTTTATAACACATGGTATGAAAAAAATCACTGTGCAGCAATACAATCTCTACAAAATGAATGCTCTCAGTTGTGGTCTTCTATCTTTGAAAAATCTCTCATGAAGGGTTTGGTGTTTGTATTTTCAAGACAACCTCTTAATTACGTTTGTATGATTTTGTATGACTATGTTTGTGTTATTTCTACATACTATTCTGTGATTGGCTCTTTCCCCTAAGAGCTGTCTTTACATCAGTGTATAGAAAACTACTGTATAATATTCTACTTGAGGATTAACCGTAAGTTACTGTTGGGTTGTGCGTATAGCATGATAATGGAGGGGCCACCTAGCATTCTTGAGGCCTTGGGTTCTATCCCTAGCACTGCAAAAATATTTTTTTCTTCCTGCTCCTCTGTGCTGTTCCTGACTGCAGCGAGCTCCTTAAACTTGAGCACCCGATAGCTTTGGATGTTTTGGGGGCAGCCCAGTTTTCAACAGTACTCACAAAGTCCCTACTGTGTGCCAGTGTCTGGAGCACAGGTGCAGTCATACAGGGAAGGAGAGAAATGACCGAGGCTGTCTGGTGGGGGCGCCAGAGAGTTACCTGATGATCACAAATCAGTGGCAAAGGGTAAAGTGCCAGGGTTATTTGGGGTGTGGCTATGAGGGCCCACCATCCCCACGCACAGATCTGCATGGCAGAGCACTTCCACATGGGCAGGATCCGTGCACCCTGACTGGAGCAAACCAAGGTCTTGGGGCCCCTGATCTGGGTAGGGTCACACATGGATGTTTCTGGAGAAACTCTTGTATTTCATAGCGTTTCCTGGGCCTTCGCACGTGCTTCTTCTGTAAACCAGAGGGTCTTCCTCATGTGATCAGAAAGGTTCTGGGAAGAGAGCGGTGCAGGCGAGCAGAGGGTTAAAGAGCTGTTCTTAGCCCTGACTGGAGCCACTGGTAGTTAAATCGGGAGGCTGTGGTCAGAAGCCTCCAGCCCGGAGCTGGGTGGTGGCCCTGTTCTTGAGTTTTGATTACGGGGTGTTGGGCTGGGGCTGTAGCCAAAGCCTGGGGTCAGCAGATCTGCTAAGGATTCATCTCAGAGGCTGCCTCCAAGCTCACACCCTCCCAGGCTTCTGTTTACAGGTGTGGCAGGGCCGGGGCTGTGGAGCCAATGAGGTGACCTGGGGGGTCACACTTGGGGACCCCAGCCTCTGCTCCAATAGCTAAAACCTGCCATGCTGCCTTGTCCCAGACTCTCTGCAGAAATTCTCAGCCTCCCAGGCCACTCACCCTTCCGGTCCCTCGGCCCACAGCCCAGAAATAGTGTAACCTTTGCTCCGGTTAGTTTTGGCAAATGGAAACTTCCAGATGCTGCTGTCACTGCCACCTCCAGCCAGCATGGTCGTGATAGGGTGGCAGTTGGTTGAAGGGTGAGGACAAAATAAAGTCAGGGGGAAATGGCTTAAATACAAGAGGGGAAGGAGGGCGGACTCAATGGGCTGCTCGGGGCACTTTTCCATTCTTTGCAACTTTTGATTGGCTTTTTAATGTGCAAAGTAATAAGGAAGATGACAGAAACGTTATGATGGTCACAGCCTTTTGTCACCTCTTCCTGTGTGCAGTGCTTGTCCTGTGGTTCCTCTGCCCACTAGGGCTAAGAGGTAGAGGTTCTTATTATTTCTACATGAGAGAAAGAGCTGCAGGGGTGGCAGATCCCTTGGTCACAGCCAAATAATACAAGGGACAAGCTATCTCCCTGGTTAGCTCCCATTCAAAGCTGAGTTCTTTCCCCTCCCCCCTCCCGTACTGAGGGTTTGCTTGCTTGATGGGTGCCTTACCACTTGAGCCATGCCTCTGGCCCTGCTTCTTGCTGGCTAGTTTGAAGTGTCTTAGTGAACTTCGTTGCCCTCAAATTGAGATCGTTCAGATCTCGGCCTCCTGAGTAGCTACACTTACAGACGGGAGCCACTGGTGCCTGGGTTGAGTGTCTTTTTAAGAAACGTAATGCTTCTCTCCTGGTTTTGAAAATACAGGTTGCAAAGCCACATAAAACCTGTCTTCTGCCACTTATCCCAGACACCTCCCAGGACTTTAAATGACAAAAAAAATGAGATTGTTGTATAAAAAGAAAATTCCAAATGCTGAAAGTGGCTGATGTGGAGGGAGGGGCCACCTTTTCTCTTCTCCCCTTCCTGTCTTGAAGTCACTTTCTGTTCCCTAGAGTTGAAATGGTGCTGGGTTCTGCTCCTAGACACTCTCATCACCCCAGCCCCTGCAGAACACCTACCTCTTACTCTGGGTGACTCTGTTAGCTCTTCCCTGGTGACTTCCATGGACTGCCCTTCCCAGGCCATTCTCCTGCTTTCCTAGCGTCATCTTGGGTGAGCTATGCTGATGTCTCTGGACGAAGCCCGTCCACCCCTTCTTTTGTGCCTGCCCACTGGGCAGCAGCTCCCCAGCCTCCTTTGGTTCAGTCCCTCCTTGGCCAGGGGTCAGGTTCTATAGTCTTTGGATAACCCCATGGGACGGGGACTAAAGAAGGAAGGGGTGGGCTGGGGCTGCCATCTGCAGGCTGAGCCATTTGCCAAGGGGTAGCAGCAGCTACATTGGGAGTTGTCCTGTGATTGTGTCTCTGGTTGAACGTGAAGCCAAGCAGGTTTTTGCATTGGTGTTTCCCATTCCATGGAACCCAGGGACGGCTGAGGGTCCCTGGGGCTCTTTAGGCAGTGCCGAGGGCTGGAACTGTGCCGCCACTGGCTTGCTGTGGAATCTCAGACTCGGGGCCTGTGGTCCCCTCCCTGCACAATGCAGGGCTTGGCCGAGTGGGCTCCTGCCCGCTGTGGCTCCACAAGGGGCCTCATCCCTGCTGGAGAGGGTCCCCTCTCTAGCTCTGACCCTTCATGTGAGGATTCTGATTGTGTCTTGGCAGCAGGCCCTGCAGGACAAGGGGTGCGAGAGCAAGAGTCAGGGGACAAAAGAAGACAAGCTCCTGAAGAGGCCGGCCCCCAGGCGGGACCGCGAGGCCCCGGAAGCTGGTGGCAGAATGAATATAGAGAAAACAGGTAAAGGAGGTCAGTCCACGGGCCTGGAATCACCCTGATGAAGCCAGCACCCAAGGGAGGCTCCTGCAGAATCCCAGCTGTCCCCAAGCCCTGTCTTCCCCAGCCAGACTGTCCACCTGACGAATTTGAGGTCCTGGCCTCCAGCTCACTGGTCAGGGACAGTATGGTCCGTCCCTCTCTCATCCCCCTGCCCCTGCCAGGGCCACCAGGGCCCCACCCAGTGATAAGAGGCCTTGGCCAGCAGGGGCTGGGGTTGGATTTCCCTACTTTTTTTTGTCTTTTCCGGGTGCCTGTCAAAAGCAGGGCACGGATGGCAGCCTCCCAGACGCCACCACCGTCTCAGAGAGGCCTGGCTCACTTGCTCTCTCTGTGTCTTGGCCCGGGGGGTCCAGAGGCACCCCCAGCCCCCCCCCCAGGACAGAGCGTTGATTCTGCTGCCCGAGGACTAAGGAAAAGGAGCTGGAGGCTCTGCTGTTCCCTGGCAGTGCTGCACGGTTCTGGAAAAGCTGCCTTGGCTCCCAGAGGCTTCCTGGTCCTGGAAGATTCTGTGGACGCCTTTGTAGTTTAGAGGATCTGGGCCAGGAGTCCTCTAAGCCCAGTGACCCCTGGGAGGGAGCATCCTGGGGCATCCGGGGAGACCAGGGCGCACAGAGGAAAGCACTGGTCTCGTGATGTGTGAACTTGCTGGCTGCTGAGTGTGGCCACTCCCTCTTCTAGGCTGAACCCCAGTTGTGTCCTCCAGCTTGTACCCTCCTGTGTTCAGGGCAGGTGTGGGGGTCTGGCTGAGGGACACCCTAAAAGAGAGAAGGTCAGCTCTCCTTAGCAGGGAGGCCTGGCCTGCCTGCCCCTCCTGAGCCTGAGTTCTGTGATGGCCGGCATCTTGGAGGATGGCCCTCTGGGGTGGTGTGTGGCACTGTCTGCCCGAGTCCCTCGGGTCTCACTTTGTCCTCCTCCCCCCTTTCCCTTCCTAGCTTCTTCTGGATCTTTCCTCCCTTCTAGGGCCCACAGGCCCCTTTCAGCTCCGGGTGTCTGGGCCAGCCACGATGCTGAGGTTCCGTTGAGCCCCACTGGGATGGGGTCCAGGTCGGGTCAGAGCCTCTTGCCTTAGGAGTTGAGTCCTGAATGACAGGGCTTCCTGAGGCCTGTGTGTGTGTATCCCCTGGCTGGCCACCCAGGCTTCTTTCCCAGGGCTGACTGGGATCGGGCACACTGTTCCCATTTCCCATAGGACGCCCCTGCCTACAGGCCTCTTGGGGGACAGAGGCAGTGCGCTCTCTCGGGTGCAGTCCAGGACGTTCTGTACTACACCGCAGCAGTCTGTGGAGGGCCACACTGGTCACACAGCACCCGTGGCAGCCCCGTGTGGGGGCCTGGAAGCATCTGTCTGCCCTCACACTCTCTAGAACAGATCACCGAAGCTCAGCCAGCTGTGTGTGACTAGTATGCCAGGTCACATGCAGGCCACACAGCCAGGGTCACTGTCCAAGCAGAGGGCTCACTGGTCAGCAGGTGTCCTGTCCACTCTCCACTCTGGGGGAGCTTTGTGGGGCCAGCCCCTAGCTCTCTGGAAGTGGAGGCAGCTGGTCCCCAGGTGTTCCTCCTGTCCCTCCCACCCCTCCCAGCCCCTGCTGGGACTGTCCCGTCCTTTCCTGCTGCAGCCACTACTCCTGCTGCCCTCTGCTGCTGGCCACGGGACTCTGCAGGCCCAGGTCCCACTTGCTGCCCGCCATTGGCCACAGGCAGTCCCTTATCACCCCCGAGAAAACCAGGTGGGTAGGCTCACTGAACAGCAGCCACTCCCTGGGAAACTTTGAGGGACCACCCTTGTCCCTCTCCCCCCGCCCCACTCCCTTGAACTGCTGTCAGCTCCACTGCCCACAGGGGCCCAGGCTCATTCTTGGCACTCAGGGAGCAGGCTGTGACAAGCACCCCAGGCCCCAGGAGCAGGTCATGGGGCCTTGATTCCGTGTCTTCGTCCTTTGTCCACCTGTCTGTCTTCTCTCTTGCCCCTGGTGACAGGACAGTGGAAGGCGTGGGAGGAGGAGGACTCAGGCTGAGGCCCCGCCCGGCTCCCCGGTATTTACCCCATTCCTTGTGCCTGTGTGGTCCCCACGTGCAGGCGTGTCACCCCCGGAGCTGGCCTGGCTGCTCCTGCCCCACGGGCTGGTCTGTCTGTCCTGGTCTGTTGCGCTTGCACACGCTCCCCTAGTTCCCTCTCTGGGCACAGGTGACCACTTCCTTCAGGGGGGCATCTGGGGAGTCTGTCCTCTCCTCTTAGGGCTCCCCAAGCCTGTGTTTTCTGCGTGGAATGCCTTTTGCCAGAGGCAGTTGCCTTCAGCCCACCCATGGCAAGGGGGTCCAGCCCCTCCGTCCTGGAATTCATTCTGAGAGGAATCAGTCTTGGTTTGGGATAGTTCTCTCTCTCTCCTGAGTGCTTCCTCTGAGGCAAACACGGAGGTCCCCGCTGACCGCCCCCCTGCCCCCCATTGCTGCTGCCTCCAGCCCCCCACTCCCTGCTTGCCTTCCTCCCCATCCCCCAACAGTCTGCCCTGCTGTGATGGGCCCTCCGCCCGCCCACCCGTGCAGGACCTCAGGCCCTGCTCATCGGCGGCTCCTTTGCTTGTAGGTGGGCGGCTCTTTGGCAGCGGGAGGTGCTCCAGCCTGTCGGGGTCACCAGGTGCGGCCCCTGTGGTACACAGGATGGTGGAGGCCATGTCCCAGCTTCAGGAGGAGAAATCCCAGCTTCAGGAGGAGCTGGTGGTCCTGCGGGAGAGGCTGGCCCTCCATGACAGTGACCAGCACGCCACATCCACCCAGCTGCAGAACCAGGTACCGGGAGGCAGGGATGGGCAGAGCGGGTCAGAGGCGACTGCCCGGCTGCCAGGGCCCCACCAGGCCATTGGCATAATGGAAGTAGATTGGGGGCTCCTGTCCTCTTGGAAGGTGCTAGAGCTTGGCCCCTGATTCCTGCCACAGACCAGGTCTCCCCTCCTGCCTCTCCTGCTTCCTGTTACTTGGGCCTGCACCTGCCCCTCGGGAGCGCAGTCCAAGGGCATTGTCTGTCTCTGTGGCTGACTAAGTCTCCTCCACATGCCCTGGGGTCCCCAACACCGTCAGCCAAATCATCCTCATGTGGGCTCTGGTGCCGTGGCCAGGCCACAGGGTCCCTGAGCAGGGCCCTCCGTGGATGGTTCTGCTGTGAGCAGCGCTCAGTCTCTGTCCCGTGAGCCAGCAAAGGGACCCCATGGGTGCTGTGGCTTGACCTCAACTCAGCAAGCAGAACGTGCACATGTGTTTCTTTTTTTCTTTTTTCTTCACTGGTCCTGGGGCTCGAACTCTGGGCTGGGGCACTATCTCTGAGCTCCTTTTTGCTCAAGGCTGGCACTCTACCACGTGAGCCACAGCACCACTTCTGGCTTTTTCTGTGATTAACTGAAGATAAGAGTCTCACTGTTCTGCCCGAGCTGGCTTCGAACCCATAATCCTTAGATTTCGGCCTCCTGAGTAGCTGGGATTACAGGTGGGAGCCACCAGCTCTGGCTTCTTCTGGCTCTTCTCCAGAGCTGCTCCCCATGTTCCTCCCCTTCCCCCAGTACTTTCCCATCACCCCACTGACTGGGGTCAGCTCTGTATTCCTCCTGCCTGCCCCAGGCCTGCTTCCGGTTTGCGTATCTCTAGACCAGGGCATGGAGCTGGGCACCAGGGACATCCAGGAGTTCGGGTGGCTCCTGCCCTGTGGAGGCTCTAATCTGGGGGAGACTGGGAGGATCTGTTGCAGCCATGTAAAAGAGGGAGAAGGCCAGGGCTCTGCCCAATGGGCACGCGTATGCCCTGAGGCCAGTACTGGAGCTAAGTTCTAGTGTACCGCAGAGGGGAAGGTATTCTGAGCCCGAGGAACAGCCAGTGTGTGGGGATGGTATGAGTAGAGATGGTGGTGAATGCAGGCCCCAGATGCTTCTCCAGGGGGCTGGGTTGGTCCAGGGCCTGCCCCGCAGCTCACCCTTGGCCCAAGGCTGCTCTGTCCCTCCTGGAGTGGGCTCCCAAGATACGGCCTAAAAGCAAGAGTGTGTTTCCATTGTTGTTTTGACACAGGGCTTCACCACATAGCCCAGGCTGGTTTCATGCTCCGTGATTCCCCCTCCTCCACTCCCGAGAGCTGGGATTACAGGAGTGCACCACCATATTTGGCTCTAGTTTATTGCTGCTTTGAAGAGCTTGGTTGAGGTAGAATTCACATGACCATAAAATTCACCCTTTTAAGGCAGACCAGTGTTCATAAGAATATTAAGATAGGAAGCACCTATTGCTTTATCTAATTTTAGGCTGTTTCTTATCACTTTGGTTTAATTTTTTTACACAATTTTTGTTATTTAAAAGTTAAATCATTTTATTCGTATTTAATTTTAAACCTGTAATGCGCTCTTCCCCTGAGCTCTCTCCCCAGGCCCTGGCATCTGATAATCTACTTGGTATTTTTTTTTTCTAGTCTTGGGGCTTGGACTCAGGGCCTGAGCACTGTCTCTGAGCTTCTTTTTGCTCAAGGCTAGGGCTCTACCACTTGAGCCACAGGCCACTTCCACCTTTTTCTGTGTATGTGGTACCGAGGAATCGAACCCAGAGTGCGTGCTAGGCAAGCACTCTACCACTACGTCACATTCCCAGCCCATCTACTTGGTATTTTTATGGATTTCTTTCTGATGTTTCATATAAATGAAATCTCGTCACACGTGAGTGGCCATTTACAACTTCAACTGAGGGGAAGGCAAAGGTAGAACACCTGCTTTACCTGGCACCCTGGTCTTTGCTCAAGTTTTAGCCAGGAACTTTCTGACTGCGAGCTCGCTTCTAGAAAGTTCTCAAAATGTGGTCCCTGAAGCTCCAAGTCTCTGAACTGCTCTCTCAGTTCCTGCCCTGTGGCTCTATAGCCAACCCCATGGGCCTGGACCGTGGGGCTACTGCTCTGTGCCTCAGTTTCCACATGTGCGCAGTGATAAACCAGACGAGTCCCTGGTGCTGCTGCCGAGCCTTCTGCCATCCCCAGGAAGACTTTGGGATCCAAACCTGGGGACAGAGTTTAGTTCTGGCTGGGCCTCTGGCCAGAGACTCAACCATAGGATGTCACCTCTGAGCCTCATTTCCGAGTCCTTAATTCTGTGACTAATAACTGTGGCTTTGTGGTTGTTGGGGCATGGCCAGGAACACAGATGGCAAACTGCAAAGTGCGGTACCTCATGGGGTGGCACTCCTGGGGTGGTACTTGCAGTGTGACACTTGTGGGTCTTCTGGTCTCCTGGAGCCTCACAGCAGTTTGACGCTGACGTTGATGTACCAGGTGTTCTGAATTTGCTTTTGCTCAGCAGCCCCCACATCGGGCATATACCACTTTGTTGGTGCCTGGGTGCTGACCTTGTCCAAATGCGCCTGCGTCCTGTGGCTGCCTTCCTACCCCCCAAAAGGCCATGAGGCCTAGCACAGGGCCAGGGCTCAGCAAGGGGCAGCCAGACTTGTCTCTCTCTAGTTCAAGGCCCAGCACTCGGCAGCCAGGTGACCACAGGGAAGTTGCTCAGTCAAGGCTTCCCCTCCAGGAACCCTGGCTTTTCTCCCTACCCAGTGAGACCCGAGCACCTGCTTCTTGGGACAGGGGGTCAAAGGTGAGGGTCTCCAGAAGCCTCCTGCCCCAGGCAGAGCTGGAAGGGTGGATGGAGCTGTGCTGCCACGGTTGGAATCTGGGCTTGGGAACTTTTGCAGGCATCTCACTAATGGCACAAGGAGCCCTGGCACAAAGGTCTGCATGTCAGGCACCTGGGGAACCCAGGCCACAGGGCCACAATGGGCCCTGGTAGGAGGGGGAGAAGGTTTGTAGCTGGTTCCCACAGCCCCGGGGCCATGCAGGTGGCTTTGAGCTCCTCTGTGCCCTTGATTCTCCAGGTTCCTAAGATCCTGTCAGGGCTACCTGCTGCTCAGGTGCACCCACTCCTTCCCACCCCTGCACCAAAGGTGGAACTTGATAGCTGACTCTCAGTTCTGGAAACCAGAGGACTGGCCTCTTATCTATGAGATTGTATAGTATGAGCCCTTTCATGATTGGCTAATTTCACTTCAAATAACAACATCAAGGCTCCTCCGAGTTGTAGTAGTTGATGAGATATGTATTATACGTGTGTGTATGTGTGTGTGTATATTTAAATTTTAAAGTGCTGAGGCTCAAACACAGAGCTTTACATGTGCTAGGCAACCAAGCTCTCTGCCACTAAACCACATTCCATCCTGTTTATTGTTTTAATTTCTTTGAGATAGGGCTTTCTGTATAGTTCAAGCTGGCCTCTAACTTGGGATCTTTCCTCCTCTACCTCCCAACGCTGGATGACAGGTGTAACCACCACTCCACATCTTTTTTTAAAAATTGTTGTTGTTGTTTCTTTTTGTTTGTTTGTTTGTCGGTTGTGGGTCTTGAACCTCAGGATCTAGGTGCTGTCTCTGAGCTCATTTGCTCAAAGCTAGCACTCTACCACTTTGAGCCACAGCACTACTTCTGGTTTTTGGAGTGGTTCATTAGAGATAAGAGTTTCATGGGAACTTCCCTGCTATAGCTGGCTTCAAACTACGATACTCAGAGCTCAGCCTCCTGAGTAGCTAGGATTACAGGCATGAACCACTGGCACCTGGCATTTGTTTCTTTTATTGCTTGTGTTTTGGAGGTCATATCTGGGACATTGCTGCCAAATTCAATGTTACAAAGATTTCCCTATTTATTTTTCATTCTTTCATATTTAAGAGTTGGAGTTTCATGTCTGTGAAATTTAGGTTTCTGATGCAATTTGAGTGAATTTTGGTCTCTTGCTTAAGGGCCCAGCTGATTGCTTTGAGGGTATTCGGTTTCCCCAGCACCAAATGGCACCTTGTCAAGGGCTATTTGAATGTACACGTGGGGTTTATGGCTGTGTTATGTCAGTACCGCACCGCTTTGGTTACTGTAGCCTTGTAAGTTGTGAAGTCAGAAGTGAGACTTCTTCAGTTTTTTTTTTTCAGAGTCATTTGTCCACTTAGTATTCCTTGAGATTTTATGGGAATTTTAGGATGGATTTTAAATTTCTTCAGAAAATGGCAGTATTGTGGTTTGTGTTCAGGGTCTTGCACTTGGTAGGCAGGCACTCTACTGCTTGGGCCATACCTTATCCTATCCCCTTTTGGCATTTAGGTTATGAATCCCAGAGAATGTCTCCCTTTTTTGCTCAGGGCTGACCCTCAGACTCTGCCCGCACCTCCCCCTATACACAAACACACCTCCTGAGAGGCTAAGACCTCTTGTGTATGCCTCCATGTCTGGCTTGTGTTTTTGAGATGGAAATCTCTGTATCTTTTGTCTGGGCCAGCCTTGAACCGTGATCTTCCCGATCTACATTCCTATGTAGCTGAGCAGGCATGAGCCACCATGTATTACTGAAATCTTAGCACTGCTGTGAAGGCTGAAACCTAGGGCTCTGTGCATGCTTGACCACTGAGCTACCACTGAGCCACACCCCCAGCCCTGACATCTTAACAGTAACTCTTCAGCACATGCCCATAGATGTCTCCCACTCACTGGCCTTCCAGCCATGCTCTCCAGTTGTCAGTGTGTAAGTTTTTAAACTTCTTAAATTTATTCCTAACCATTTTACTCTTTGGCTTGCAATTGTGAGATTATTTTATTTATCTTTTACTGATATAAACATAGTTGGTTTTTGTGTGTTAATCTAATATCTCACACCTTAGTACAATTTCTTAGCTCTAACTGGCTTACCTTTTAAAAATCAAATTAGTTGCCAGAATTTTTATGTGTGTATATATAGGTGTGTATGGGAGGGGGTGCTGGTACTTGGGCTTGAATTCAGGGATTGGGCACTGTCCTTTAGGTTTTTCTGCTCAAGGCTAGTTCTCTATTACTTGAGCCACAGCTCCACCTCCAGTTTTCTGGTGGTTAATTGGAGGTAAGAGTCTCAAGGTGCGCTGATGGCTCATGCCTGTAATCTTAGCTGCTCAGGAGGCGGAGATCTGAGGATCATGGTTGAAAGCCAGCTCAGGCAGGAAAGGCTGTGAAACTCTTATCTCTAGTTAACCGCCAGAAAACCAGAAGTTGAGCTGTGGCTCAGAGTGGTAGAATGGGCTGGGAATGTGGCTTAGTGCTAGAATGCTTGCTAGCATCCATGAAGTCCTGGGTTCAATTCCTCAATGCCACATAAACAGAAAAAAACTGGAAGTGGTGCTGTGGGTCAAGTGGTGAGCACTAGCCTTGAGAAAAGAGAGGCTCAGGGACAGAGCCCAGACCCTGAGTTCAAGCCCGAGGACCAGCAAAACAAAAACATCATCACAGTGGTAAAGTGCTAGCCCTGAGCAAAAGAGCTCTGGAGCAGTGCCCGGGCCCTGAGTTCAAGCCCCATGACTGACAGGAAAAAAAAGTCTCAAGGACTTTCCTGCCTAGGCTGGCTTTGAACCAAGATCCTCATATTTCACTCTCCTGAGAAGGTAGGATTACAGGTTTTGCGAACACTTAAATCTGTTACATTCACACAAAAATTGGAATGACTTTTTATTACCAACAGTTGGCCTTCCCACGTGGCAGCCATCGGCTGGACTTGAGTGGGGTGAAGGTCATGAGCATGCTGCAGCCCGCATTCCTCCTGCGGTCACACCCTGTGCCAGCCTCCCCCACAGACCCTGCTCTGCTGCACCCTCAGCCACCCAGCACTCATCCTGCATGCACTGATTAAGCACCTTTGCTGCCAGGCACTGGGAGCACAGCACTGCATGCCCTGCTATTCTAGTGCACACTGGGGAGCCCTCATCCCAAATCCTAAACAATCTCCACGCGATGTGCTGGGTTAGAAGGCTGGGGATGCACAGACTATATGCACAAGATGACTAAAGTATCATTGAAAGTTACAATATTTTGCCATTCAGCGTGTGTGTGTGTGTGTGTGTGTGTGTGTGTGTGTGTGTAAAACACAAATGAAATTTGTACTTACACCTGGGTCCTATCCCTGAGAATACTCCAGAATCTTTAAAACAACCCTGAAATACAAAAGCAATTTCTGGTCCCAAGCACTTCAGCTAAGGGAGACTTGTTGTTTAATAGAACATATTAGGAAGGCAGGACCCTCCTGTACAGTTATGCATATCGGCTCATTTAATCCTCAAGACAGCTGGGTCGAGCTAGCCCCATTACATGAGGCAATCGAGAGGCACAGAGAGGTGAAGAGACTTGTCCGAGGTTACCAGTGGATAAGCTGAGGCCGTGATCAACCTGGGCAGTCCCTGCCAATTGGCAATCTCAGTGCTGTTCTGCCCATTAGCATCGGAAGGACCCAGTGTGATCCCTCGGTGGTAGAGACGTCTGTGTGGCAGTGGCTGGTCAGTCCAGGCCAGCAGTCACCTGGGCAGGATGGGGATGGGTGGCTGTAAAAGGGGTGCTCTCCTGGCCCCCTCAGAAGGGGGGGCAGTGTCTTGTGCTGACTCAGCAAGGCTCAGCAGTGCTGTTGGGAGAGCCCTGTCCCCTGCCCCCCCCCCCTTTCCCCAGGCTGCTGACTGCACTGGCTGGGCGTGGTGGGAGGTAGGGAGTAATAGGCAGGTTGGCTCAAGAGGCCACCCTGGAGCAGACAAGCTCTGAAAGCACAGACCTGAGCAGGCGTACCCCACCTCTGCTGAGTCTGTTCCACTGGGGTGTGTAAATATAAATGTAGGTTTGTGTCAGATCAGCAAGCAGACAGGCCTCGGCTCCCTCCACCCCCAGTAGGGCAGGGCCTCAGTGTCTTTAGCTTGAGCTGGGGAGGGGGGTGTCACCCCAGCCCTGGCCAGCAGACTTCTCACCTCTGGATTGTCCTCTGTGCCCTCCAGGGACAGGAGGCTGCTGTCACCTGCTCGCTGATGCTGGAGCATGCATTGCTGCCCCCTTGGTTGCCACTGTGGTATTTATTGAGCATCTATTGTGTGTTGGCTCATGGGCACAGGCCTATGGCTGGGTCAGCTGTGGTGGTCGCGGGGAGATTGTAGGGCTGGAGAGCGGTTTTTTTTCTGCTCAGGGCCAAGTGGGTATTTATACCATCCTTCGAGGGCCTTACAAAATGACCAGCTCAGGCACACAGCCGCAGCAACTGATACGCAGCACAGGAACGTACCTGTCTGCCTGTGCCAGATGATTTTGAAGGGCTTAGATACCCGTCACCCCTCTGCTCACCACCCCTGCGGAGGAAGACCCTTCTTCTGGCCCCTGTCTTCTACCCTTACCGCTCCTAGCCCTGTCTGTCTCTGTCCAGTTCTCTAGACATTTTGTTTGTTTCTAACTTCTTTCCTGCTGGCTCTCAGGGGCTCCAATGAGTAGCATAGTGGGACAGGCATGATGGGGTGTGGTCACCTTGGCCCAGATGCCCTGTGGCGTCCATCCGCCTCTCAGCTGGGCTCCCCTGTCTGCTGCCCACGATGCACCCCAAAGGTGTGCTCAGGATTTGACATCTCTGACCGGGAGGCCTCTTACCATCTCTTCCTCAGCACCCCCCCCCATGGCCAGCTCACCCTTAGCAGCAGCACCTTTGCAAGGGGGCCTCACAGGTTTCAGCAGAGCAAAGCACCCCGGGTCCCCATTGTGATGTGAGAAGGGAATCTAGCTGGTTATCGGCTGGGTAGGGGAAGTGGTAGCTCCAGCAAGCACCAAACCCCACTGGAGACGGTCCTAGGAAGTTGGGATCTGGCATCATCCTAAGCAGGAAGAGTCCTCTTCTTTCAGGGTGGGAGGAACAGTCTTTGAGACTTAGCCATTACTGGACAGTGTGGAGAAATTCTCTCAGTGCAGCCTGAAGACTCTCCGCTTGTTCTTACTATACTCAGTGTTCTCCCTGGTTTTTGTGTGTTTTTAGTGCCAGTACTGGAGCTTACACTCAGGACCTCACACTCTTTATGACTATGGAATGAGAGGCTGCCTCTCGTGAGCCTCTCTTCTTCCCTCCAGCCCACAGCACCCCTCACTCCAGGCTCTCAGTCAGATTAGGCATTAGTCTGGGGTACTTGGGTCCACTGGTCCAAGTTTGTCCCTACATGCTCAGCCCATGGCCCAGTGCTCTCTAGGAAGGAGTGTAGGCCAAGGTAAATGGTTGCAGGTGACCATGCAGGACCCGCCCTTGTTACCTGCTCAGCCTCCAAGAGGCCCTGAGCCACTGTTCCACCTTGGGGGATCCAGGCTGGCACTGCTGGCCTGGGCCTTTGCCTGGAAGTAGGGATGGATTCCATGGCCCACTTCCTCGCCGACCCTACTCAAATGTAGGGTGGCCAGCCAGAGGTCAGCTGCTGCACACAAACTCTATATCTCAGCCATAGAAGGTGGGGAATCTGAGGAATGTAAACCCTGGCCTTTCTTGAAAGATAAACCAGTTTAGAGGTGCAGGGTCTGCGGGGAGTACAATGTGGCCACCTCTTTGACAGCTCCTCATCCAGCTCATCTGGCTGGCACCTGTGGGCAAGGCTTTCCTGGAGGATGATCAAGGTGGCATAAAGGACATTATCACCTGTCATTTAGTCATCAGTACCCAAGGCTTTCATGGCCAGCTGATGGAACCCACCCAACCCACCAGAGTCCATCTGCCACCCACTGAGCCTTTTCCAAGCTGAGATGTGAACATCACAATGTTCTGCATGGGAGATCCCAGCATGCGCCACTGAAGGCTGCCACCCAGGTCTCCTCTGGCTTTTTCCCTAAGGAGCTGTTCGTGGGTGGGCTGATCTGGGCCAGAGGCCTGGGCCTTTGGGGAGGTTAGCTCTAGAGAAGGGTCATTGTCAGGGACCGAGTCCCTGTGCCCACAGGGTTGGCACCATGGTGGCGCTTTCTCAGCCTGGCCAGCAGATTGGAGGCTGGGGGGTGGACACAGGTCCTGAATATACGGGGCTTCAGAGGCCAACTTGCAGAAAGCACTCAACATAGAACATTCTGGGAATTGGGCAAAGACAGAGGCAGGGCTTGTGGGGCCTGCAGTCCATACAAGTTTGGAGGTTCTTTGTTAAGATAATGTGAAATTATAGATAGGGCCCTCAGATGGGGCATGTGCCACGAGGAGGCCCAAGTCTCCCTGGGCACTGCTCCTGGGGCGGCCAGGCCAGCGGGCTGGGCTCCCCTCCAGCCCTCCCTGAGAAGCACAGGCTGGCTCTGTTCCTGCGGGAAGAGCGCACGGACTGCGCTGTTGGGAGCAGACTGACTTTCTCTTATCTGGAGTGCCAGGCACAGTCTGGTGCTGAGGCTGTGGGTCACAGGTCACTGGAGCCACCCCCAGGCTCCCAGTGCCCCTTAACCCACCCTGCTCTGTGCCCGCAGGTGGAGAATCTGAAGGAGAAGCTCATTAGCCAGGCCCAGGAAGTGAGCCGACTGCGATCGGAGCTGGTGAGGCTTCCTTCTGGTTCCAGCCTGAGGAGGGGGCAGGTGCCCAGTCTCTTCACCCCGTCACTGACCCCTCCCACCTCGTCTCTGCCTTGAATCCCTGCCTGGCCAGCACCCTCAGTGGGCATGTGCATCCCAAGGGCAGGAGGTTGGATCTGATTCGCTGATGTACAATAGGAGTGTGAACGCTGCATAAATGTGACTTCTTGTTATTTTCACACTCAGGAAAATAGACCCAGAGGGGCGGGGGCAGCAGGGAGGGAGCTTCAGCCTCCCCCTCCTGCCTCCCTTCCCCTGTCTGTCTCCCTGAGCTCCTGCCTTCTTCCCTCTCCTTGTCTCTCCTCACTGCTCCTTTCTCCCTGCCCTTGCCCCATGCCCCCGCTGGGCCCCGGCTCTCCACAGGGAGGCACAGACTTGGAGAAGCACCGGGACCGGCTGATGGTGGAGAATGAGCGGCTGAGGCAGGAGCTGCAGGAGCTACGGGCGCAGCCTGCGGCGCCCTGCCCGGGCTGTGAGCACAGTCAGGTGAGCTGGTGGGGTGAGCCCTGACCCTCGGTCCCTAAGGCTGTGTCCCTCACACTGCCCCTGCCCCTCCCTATGTCCCCTGGGCCTCCTGATTGTCTGCAGGAAAGCACCCAGCTCCGAGACAAGCTGTCCCAGCTGCAGCTGGAGGTGGCAGAGAACAAAGGCATGCTGTCAGAACTGAACTTGGAGGTCCAGCAGAAGACGGACCGGCTGGCCGAGGTAGAGCTGCGGCTCAAGGACTGCTTGGCTGAGAAGGCACAGGAAGAGGAGCGGCTCAGCCGGCGCCTGCGGGACAGCCACGAGACCATCGCCAGCCTGCGGGCCCAGTCACCACCAGTCAAGGTGAGCCACAGCTGGGCACCCTTGAGCAAGTGCCCCGAGCAAACCCTGGACTCAGCTCAGGACTGGCACAGAAGAGGGGCTTGTGGCGAATCACCTGGTCTAAATGGTTCCTTTGGGTTCTTTCCTGTTTTGCTCTGCCTAGAGCCAGGCAGAGGGAACTAGCACCTCGAAAGGGCTGTTCATGCCAGATCCAGGTGCACCAAAGCTTTTAGATTCTTCCCTGCTTGTCAGTGGGTGCCCAGGCTGGGCTGCAGCCGACGCCCAGCAAGCTCTCATTAAGATGAAAGGCTCCTGTAGTTTTCAGCAGGGTTTCTTTGTGGGTGATTCTTGGAATGTGGCTGCTGGCATCAGAGGGCGCCCATGGTGACATCCTTCCTACATCCTGTAGTACGTCATCAAGACAGTGGAGGTGGAGTCATCGAAAACCAAGCAAGCCCTCAGCGAGTCCCAGGCTCGGAACCAGCACCTGCAGGAGCAGGTGGCCATGCAGCGGCAGGTGCTGAAGGAGATGGAACAGCAGCTTCATAGCTCACATCAGCTGACCGCCCAGCTCCGGGCTCAGGTGTGCAAGCCACTGTGGGGAGGAGACAGGCTGGGTGAAAGCCAGAGGCGAAGCACTTGGGGACCCCACAGGCCCAGGGTCCAGTCCTTCTTCCGCTTCATGTCTTTGGGACCAAGAGAAGGTTTTGCTCAAGTCTCTGTTTCCTCATCTCTAACATGATCTGGTCACAGGAACCTCTTTCCAGGGCGGGCTCAGGTGCATCACAGGATATGCTCTCTTCCTGGGGCACACGGCTTAGATGCCTGCTCTGTGCCTGGGACAGACTGGGCTGGTGCCAGACAATGGCTAGGAGGTGGTGGGACAGAGAAGGCCATTCCACCCTTTTACTCCAGTGTGTGGTAATGGGCCTGTAGCATTGGGAGGACTTGCAGCAAGAGGGTGGGAGGGACTTCTAGGAGTGGGGCGGGACGTCCTTCTGCACCCAACCCTGAGCTTTCTCTTGTCCTGGCCACCAGATTGCCATGTATGAGGCAGAGTTAGAGCGAGCACACGGACAGATGCTGGAGGAGATGCAGTCCCTGGAAGAGGACAAGAACCGGGCCATCGAGGAGGCCTTTGCCCGAGCCCAGGTGGAGATGAAGGCTGTGCACGAGAACCTGGCAGGTGAGCCTGCCAGCTGGGCTCTGCCTACCCAAGCCAGGCCCTATAGCCGGTTCACATCACAGCTCACCCTGTGTTTCCACAGGCGTCCGGACCAACCTGTTGACACTGCAGCCAGCCCTGCGGACCCTCACCAATGACTACAATGGGCTTAAGAGGCAGGTTCGAGGCTTCCCAATGCTGCTGCAGGAGGCGCTCAGGAGTGTCAAGGCTGAGGTGAGCAGGGAGTGTGTGAGCCCTGGAGCCATCAACCTGAGGCTGCCTTTCTGCCCCAGCTCCCAGGCTACAGCCCCATCTGGCTCCCAACACATGGACACGCCTGTTTAGAAATAGATTGGGACAAGATTTGTATGTTTGTCTTACTATGATTGCTTACTCCCCCCACCCCCTTTTTGGAGACAGGGTCTCATTTTGTAGCTCAGACTGACCTTGAACTAAAGATCTTCCTGAGGGCAGGGATTGTAGGCATGTACCATCATGCCTGGCTCTGTGTGTCTGAGCACATACACACCCATGCGCCAATAATGGAGCTTGAACTCTATCCCTGAGCTTTTTCACTCAAGGCTTGTTAGTGTTCTGTAACTTGAGCCCCAGCTATACTTGTGGGTTTTTTGGTGGATAATCAGGGATAAGAATCTCCTGGACCACTCCTGCCTGGGTTGGCTTCAAACCATGATCCTCAGATCACTGTCTTTATAGGTACGAGCCATTAGTGCCTGGCTTATAACTAGCTTTTCTCTTTTATCATGGGGCCTGAACCCTGGACTTGGGTGCTGTCCCTCATCTCAAGGCTGGTGCTCTACCACTTGAGTCACAATGCCACTTCTGGTTTTCTGGATCCTCAGTTCTCAGCCTCCTGAGTAGCTAGGATTACAGGTGTGAGCCACCCGTGCCTGGCTTGTGTCTCACTTTTTAGTTATCTTTTAAATCAAACATGTTCACATAGTATAGCCGTGCTACACATAGCCTTAAGTTTGAGTTTAATTCCTTTTTTTTTTTTGAGATAGGTTCTCACTATATAGCAAAGGCTGGACTCAACCTTTCAGTTTTGTTGCCTTAGCCCCCCAAGTGCTGGTATTCTAGACAGGCATACCATAGCCCAGATTTCTATGTTTAATTTCTCCCCACCTTTGATGCTAAGATGGAGCCAGAGGCTCATGCATACCAGGCAAGCATGGTGCCATGTTCCCAGCCCCTCATTTAGTTTTCTAGAGCTGTAGTTACACAGTATAAGAACAGCCGGTGTTACTTGCCTCTTATGTGTCTCCCCTGTGCTGAGCTTTATACCTGATGGCTCCTTGAGTTTGTGTGACTGCTCTTCAGAGACTTAATCTATTCAGAGAACAGAAAATAGTTCTTGGCTGGGTACCAGTGGCTCATTCCTGTAATCCTAGCTACTCAGGAGGCTGAGACCTGGAGGATACCAGTTTGAAGCCAGCCTGGAAAGTCTTGGCTAATCTACAATTAGCCAGCAAAATAATGGATTGGAGGCATGGCTCAAATGGTAGAGCACCAGCTGTGCATTTGAGTCCAGCTGAGTTATGTAATCAAGTGTTTGTGCTGTGCAGTGAAGGCTGAGCCCTATTCTTTGCTGGTTCTCAGTTGCTGGCACTCAGTTTCCCCCTCTGTAAAATGGGTGTTCTTTGAGAAAATGCTGAGGTAATGTATGCCAAGTACTCAGCTTGGGCAGGAGACAGCACCTGTGGTGGTTAAGGTGAGGCTGGTGGAGCCAGCCCCTTGGTGGCTTTGTCATCAGAGTGTGTATGCCCCCAGATTGGCCAGGCTATTGAGGAGGTCAACAACAACAACCAGGAGTTGCTGCGCAAGTATCGCCGGGAGCTGCAGCTGCGCAAGAAGTGCCACAACGAGCTCGTGCGGCTGAAAGGTGAGTGCAGGTGGCCCAGCAGGGTTTGTACCAGCTCCTTCCCGCCTGTGCACCAGGCATCCTCAGAGAAATATCCCAGTCCTCTGTCCACAAGGGAACCGGCCCAGAGAAGTCAAGGAGCTTGGCCCAGGGCCAATGTGTGGCTGGTCATGATCCATCTTGCTCTTGAACTTGAGTCAGTGGTCAAGTTTCTTCCCATGGCAGTTATTCCTAGGCCTTACGTGGCTGAAGGGCAGGGCAGGGCAGTGCTGTGTGGTGGCTGACCTGCAGCCGGCTCAAGCCTGAAGCTCACAAGCTCTGAGAAGCATCTGCACCTGCCCAGCGCTCGGTCTATGGCAGATAAAAACGCCCTTGCCTACTTCATGCTCATTTTAGTTGGAGTAAGGGTGATCACTAGTCACCCTGAGAACCCCAAGGGTTCCCCCAGGGTTGAAGGGAGCCCTGAGAGCTAGCCCCTGGGTGGGAGGGCGTTGGGAGCGTTTCACATAGCTACAGCCAGAACTGGAGGGGACAGGTGGACGGAGGGGAGGCAGGGCCCTGCTGGCTTGGAACTATAGGGTAGCATGACCATCTTGTGCCACCAAGCACTCCTGTGCTGCCCCACTGTCAGTGCCCATCAGTTCTCTACCTCCTGGCTGGTCCTGTTTGCTCATCAGGTGCCCAGGCCCTGTACTGGCATTCAGTGCCCTTTAGATCAAGTCCTGTTGCTCAAGGAGGAGACTTGAGTCCATGGAGGAGAAAGTGCCTGAACCCTACCAGTGGCTTTCCTCCAAAGGCACAGCACCCTGCCCCCCCCCACCTGAGTGAATCCATTCTGTGTGAGACTCACTAGTTAGGGCTTGGCGGGCCATCTTGCCCTGGTGAGCTTTTCTTTAAAGACAGGGGCCTCCTGTGGCTGCTGATGGGCCCCGGGTGACAGAGTGGAGGCAGTCTGTTCTTGACCCAGCTCCATCTCCATCCATCCCAGGAAACATCCGGGTGATTGCTCGTGTCCGGCCAGTCACCAAAGAGGATGGGGAAGGACCCGAGGCGACCAATGCCGTGACCTTCGATCCTGATGATGACTCCATCATCCACCTGCTACACAAGGGCAAGCCTGTGTCCTTCGAGCTGGACAAGGTCTTCTCCCCAGGGGCCTCACAGCAGGACGTAAGTCTCACCCTGTGGGGGTGAGGGAAGAACAGATGCCCGAGGAGAGGGGGCAGAGCTAACAGCAAAGTATAAGAGTGGGGAACTAAGGCTCGCAGTGACTGTGGCCTCCATCCAGCCTCCCCAACTAGCAGCTTCCTCCTGCAGCCATCACCCTGGAAGCCCAGTGGTGAGCCTCAACCATGATAGCACCATGGGGGTCACATCTCTGCCCAGGGCTAGCCTGCCAGGCCCATCTGGCCTGTGTCCTCCTTTCCCTGGGTCTGGCTTTCCCTTCGCTGTTCAGTGGCAGGCAGGCCGGCCGGCCCAGGCCTAGGCCTGAGGTGGTGCCAGGCACATAGTAACCTCTTTTTGTTTTCTTGCACCCCTCCTTGACAGCAGAGGAGCCGAGGGTGGGCCCTAACCTCCATGATGGCATCGGTGGGCAGCAGCCAGGCTGCTCACTGCTGTCCAAGGCAATGACTTCAGTATGAGCTAGTTGGAGTACCACATGCTGTTACCAGTGAAGGAGACTGTGGGCTGGAAGGTGGCAGGGCCTGGTGGGGCCCCTGGCCCCAGCAGCCTTGGAAGCTAAGTTCCTCACTGACTCGTGTCCTCCAGGTGTTCCAGGAGGTGCAGGCCCTGATCACCTCTTGCATTGATGGCTTCAACGTCTGCATCTTTGCCTATGGCCAGACAGGTGCAGGCAAGACATACACAATGGAGGTATGGAGGTGGGCGCCTGCTGAAGGGGTGGGGTTCTGAGCACGTGGACCAGTCCCCACTGCCACAGGGGCACAGTGCCACCCTGGGGAGGTGGCATTGGGGGTCCCAAGGGAGCTGATGGGCCCGCCCTTGGCATCTGGATAGTTCCGTGGCAGAGGGAGCACTGGGCCTCAATCATGCTAGGCTAGAAGAATCAGGTCCCCAGGCAGGACTGGGAGTGGGGAGGGCTGTGAGAGGGGGAGGTGGGGCTTCTAGGGCCCAGGCAGGGACCCTGAATTTCTTCTAGGAAGGCAGGTGAGCCCATGGCTCCGTGGGCACATCTCCACCTCTACTACCCTTCCACACCCAGAGCCTAAGTTATGGCTACCTGACATTGAGCCTGAGAGAACGGTGGGAGGGAATTCAGAGCAGCCCAGGAGGGGCCCCAGAGTCTGTGATGCTCAGCTGTGTGCAGGCCGCGCCCTGCTCCGTGACGTGTCAGGGCTGAGCTCTCAGAGTGGTAGTGGTGCAGTCACATGGAATGGGTACAGGGCACTTGGCACCAGCATGTAGATGGGAGCCTGAGGCCAGGAGGCTGGCCAGTGAGGACAGCTGAGGACATGGGGTGAGGGGTGACATGCTGTGTGAGCATGAGCAGGGTCATGCAGGATTTCCTTCCAGGGAACCCCCGAGAACCCCGGCATCAACCAGCGGGCCCTGCAGCTACTCTTCTCTGAGGTGCAAGAGAAGGCCTCCGACTGGCAGTATACCATCACTGTCAGTGCAGCCGAGATCTACAACGAGGTCCTCAGGTGAGCCTGGGCCCTGGCCACTGGGAGGCCGTGGTGTGGGGAGGGCAGCAGAACCTTCTTGGTGGAGTCAGGTTCTTTGCCACAAGTAGGGCTGACTCAGCTCAAGAGGGCATGGGGGTGGTGTTGGCGGTGGCAAGAGTGGGCAGAAGGCCTTGCCCAAGGGCACCTCCCTTGGGCTCCATAGGGCTAGAGAAGAGGCCAGCCTGGCCCTGTGAAGGTGTGGTGGCGTGGGGGAGGGGCACCTTCTAGGCTGGGGTCTGGTGCAGGTCCGGCAGAGGCCAGATGTTCCCATCTATCCAGGGATCTGCTGGGAAGAGAGCCTCAGGAGAAACTGGAGATCCGGCTGTGTCCGGATGGCAGCGGGCAGCTGTATGTGCCAGGGTTGACGGAGTTCCAGGTGCAGAGCGTGGAGGACATCAACAAGGTGAGGGAGGGCCTGGGGGGGTTCTAGGAGTTGGGGAAGTGCTGCAGGAGAGCTGCCCTAGAGCAAGACAGAGCACCAATGGTGGGCCTGACACAGCCCTCAGCCCCTGAGCCTGCTTCCTCATCTAAAAAGCAGCGTGTTAGCCTTCAGAGAGGAGCTCAGGAGTGGGGTGATTCTGAGGCCCCCTACTTCCAAGCCTGCACTCCTCCCCCCAGGTGTTTGAGTTTGGCCACACAAACCGCACCACGGAGTTTACCAACCTCAATGAGCACAGCTCCCGCTCGCATGCCCTGCTCATCGTGACCGTGCGAGGCGTGGACTGCAGCACAGGCCTCCGCACCATCGGTGAGGAACAAGGACAACCTGGCCTGAGGACCCCAGTGGTTCCCCCCACCCCCGAGGCCTCCAGCAGTTTTGACCCACCCCACACCCTCCCCACAGGGAAGTTGAACCTGGTAGACCTGGCTGGGTCTGAGCGCGTGGGCAAGTCGGGAGCTGAGGGCCACCGCCTGCGGGAGGCACAGCACATCAACAAGTCCCTGTCGGCCTTGGGGGACGTCATTGCTGCCCTCCGCTCCCGCCAGGGCCACGTGCCCTTCCGCAACTCCAAGCTCACCTACCTGCTGCAGGACTCACTCAGTGGAGACAGCAAGACACTCATGGTGGTACAGGTGAGGGGTGGGGAGCAGGCGCCCCGCCCTCGGGCCCAAGTTCACCCCTCTGTGCCTTGGGCTTTTCTGCCACGTTTGGCCCTAGAACTCCTGGCCCCTCCACCATTCTCAGGGGTGGCAGCTCTTCTGTCCCCTAGGTGTCCCCTGTGGAGAAGAACGCCAGCGAGACACTGTATTCCCTCAAGTTTGCTGAGCGGGTGCGCTCCGTGGAACTGGGCCCTGGGTCTCGCCGCACAGAGCTTGGGTCCTGGTCAAGCCAAGAACATCTGGAGGTGCGGGGGCAAATGCAGGACTGTCCCTAAAGGGAAGACTGTGTGTGTGTGTGTGTGTGTGTGTGTGTGTGTGTGTGTTGGGAAGGGGGCGGGGGAATCTGCCCAGAGGTGGTTGAGTTAGAACTTGAACCCAAACCCATCAACCTCAGTCATCCATCTTTCCTCTTGGTCTTAGAGGTGGGATGGGGGTGTTGTATTCGAGGTAAGTTTGCAGCCTGGGACATGGTGAAAACGTTTCTTTCTTTGAATGACTGCATTTGCTGCATGCAGCAACTTCTCCACGGATGAGGGGGCCTTCTTCATATGCCCATTTTGCAGATGAACAAACTGAACTTGAAGAGTGGAAGCAGGCCCAGTGGGGTGGGAGGGGAGGAGCCAGGGCAGCCTGGGCCCCCAGCCCACCCCTCCTTCCTGTTCACAGTGGGAGCCAGCTTGCCAGACACCACAGCCCTCAGCACGGGCCCATTCAGCCCCCACTTCTGGAACCAGTAGCCGCCCTGGCTCCATCCGGAGGAAGCTGCAGCCCTCAGGTGAGCCTGGTGGGGAGTGCGCCTTCCCCTCACAAGCACAGCCATAGGGCTGCCCATACCTAGTTGAGCTATTTCTTTACCTCATAAATTAACATGGTGGCACATACCTATAATCCCAGCAGATCACAACTTTTGAGACAAGGTCTAGGTTACAGAGCCAGCCTAGGTAAACTAGACCTTGTCTCAAAGTAAAAATTCCAGAGGACTAGGAAAGTAGTTCAGTGGCAAAGGGTTGCCTGGTAAGTTCATGGTGCCGAGTTCAATCCCCAGAATCAGAAAAGAAAAAACAAAACAGGAAACTTGAGACCTTCTCCTACCACCCTGTCCTGCCTGCCTGCCTGCCAGTACTGTGGAGAGGACGATGGGAGGAGCGGGGCCATTCTCACTGCCTCTCCAGCATTCCCCATGCCACACTGGGCTGGGTGCCCATGTTCTAGAGAGGGTCTATAGTCTAGGGCAGACGCGCCTGACTGGGCTCCTCAGAAGAGGGCCTGAGTCTAAAGGGGCAGGGGCAGCAGTGTCCTGTGTGGGAACAAGCCCCCCAGTGAGACGCCTGTTGCTTTGATTTCAGCCTGACGGCTGGGGCTGATGTCTCCAGGTGAGTGGGGCCAGGGGCCTGGGCTGCCTGCCTGCCACCCACTGCCACCCGGCTTAGGTTGCAGGGTTCTGTGGGAGCTCACCTGCTCCGGGCGGGGCTGCCTTTCGCTGCCTGCTGTCTGTGTGCTTCTGCCAGCCTTGGTTGCTCTTGCACCTCCTTTGGGCATGTCTACCACGGCAGGAGGCAGCCGACGGTTTGCCTTTCCTTACAGGGAGGTCGAGGCCAGTGCCTGTTTGAGGATGCATCATCCTGCTGGGCCTGGAGCTAGGCCCATAGACCGTGCCACCTGCTCCTGCTATAGCACCGGGACAGCAGGAAACAGGCCCGTGGATGAGAGTTCACCCACCATGACTGCTCGGATGAAGAACACGCGCAGAAGGAAAGCAGTGTCTATGTGTGGCTGTAGGCATGCGTGGCAGGGTCTGGAGGGCCCAGGAACCATGGGAATGGGGTTGGGCTGGTGGCACCTTGGCTCCTTTCACAGAAGGGGAACCTCCCACACATCCCCAGTGGGGCATGTACATAGTGTTCCTAGGTGTACATAGAGCCTGGCTCTGCCCAGGGCTGGGCCGTATTTATAGACGCAGAGGCCAGTGGGTGGGGTTCTGTGTCCCCTCGTCTGCCTGGCACCACTGGCTTCCTGACATGCTGCTCTTCCCTCCACAATCCTATTTAAGACGTTTTGGAAGCTTAGCCATTTTTGTTAAAATAAAAGCTTTTTTACACACATGGACTCTGGCTTGGTCACCCCTGTGGTACCCTCCCTTCCCACAGCTGGCTAGTCACCACAGCCCTGCAGGACCTGGACTGCCAGGAGTCCTCATGGCCCCCACCACCTGGGTAAGTGCCTTCTGCTGCCTAGTGTCCCTAATGACCACATGTCTACAGTAACCTTCCCATCCTGCAGTGGTGTCAGATCCAGGGAGCTTCAGTGAGGGGCTATCAGTCCTGGCCTCCTGTGCTGGGGACCTGGACAGGGGCTACCTTCAGGGATGGCATCTAGCCAGCCAGCTCCTGCAGGAAGTGAAAGTTAGGGACCCCGTGGAGGACAGGCAGGTGTTCCAGAGGCCTGAGATTAGGGTCTTGGCACCCAGTGGTGGGCAGCTGATGTCTTTTCAAGGGTCTACACTAGGAGCATGTGAGACCACATTGGCTCACCTGGCCTAGGAGCTTGCTGCCTTCCCTAGAAGACTGTATGAGCCCTTTCCTGCACCACTGTCACTGCTGCTCCCTCTCCCTGCCCCCCCCAACCAGAGTTGGGAGGACCTGGGGCTCAATTCTTCAGCGTGGGAGGACCATGCTGGCCTGAGGAGAGCCTTTTGGCCAGAGATGTCCCTCTTACATGAAAGACAGGGAATAGTTACAAATTTAATAAATTTCACCTTATAAATTACAGCAGCAGCCCCAGAGCTCGGTTTGCTGTCCCAAGAAGCAAGAGTTGGGCAAAGCTGGGCAGCCATCGCTGGAGAGGAAGTTGTCTCAGTTCAGGGCTGTGGAGGTGCCAGTAGCCTGTGCTGTTGCCTCCAGTCTAGCCCCAGGAACAGCCAAGGGCACGGGGCAGAGGCTCACTGCCAGTGGCACACAGGGAACAGGAGTGTAGTAGCAGACACTGGGGGCTGCCAGGCGCCCCCCTACCCCTGCAGGGCTCCTCAGTCCAAACTGGCCATGAGCAAGTGCAGCTCCCGGAAGGCACTGCCGTGGCGGCCGCTCAGGCTTGACTTGGTCTTGACGAGGCCACTGATACTCTTGAGTTGCTTGTAGCAGAGCCGGCACTTGTGCAGCCTGGAGACCAAGGGGCAGCATCTGAGGCTGCAGCTCCAGGGCCACCATGACTGCACCAGGCTTGGGCAACCTCTGCCATGCAGCCCCTCCCACCAAGGGTCTGCAGCCTAGAACATGGGGGGACTCAGCCAGGCTGAGTCTCTGAGACTCTGCCACAGGTTGTGGGGACAAGGCTACCACCCAGGGAGGCCCAGCCTTACCTCTCCTCGCGGCTGATGTCAACCCCCACAGAGGGCGGGGCTGCCAGGATGTCAGTGATGAGGGGCAGAAACCGCTGAAGGATCAGCTTCAGGGAGGTGCAGCCTGTCTGGACGTAGCTGAGGAAAGCCATAGAGAAACAGTGAGGTGTGGCTACAGCACAGGGGGGTGCAGATACATGAGCCATCATGAGTTCCATGCTGGTCACTGGAGGGGAGAGGGGTACTAATACTCCTTACAGGACCCCTGAAAGAGTTGTACCTCCCTACCTCTCATACTTGCTCTGCAGGAGCTTCTCGATCTGGGGCAGCACTGTAGTGCACAGGTCCAGCTTCCACAGGGAGCTGGGGAGAAGTGAAGCGTGATGCAGTCAGGCTGGCCCCACCCACCCCAGCCCTCCTGCACAGCCACTTACGCCTTCTGGTTGACGATGTTCAGGAGGTCCACGACCACAGACAGGTCATTGATGGCTACCGCAGAGTCCACCGACGTCTGCAAACAGAGCTCAGTCAGGAGGAGGGGCAAAGGTGAGGGTTAAAGAGGGCAGGTCTAGCCTGGAGAGGGGTGGTCAATAAATGTCAGCTTGGGATGAAAATGCAGAGCTGTGCGTGATTCAACCACTGGCTGCCTATTTTCCCCCCAACCCCGTATCTCTGCGTTCAGCCCCAAGTCTGGGTGAAAGGGTGGGAATGAAGCCAGGCCTCGGCAGGCGGGGCACTTGCCTTGATGTCACCTGTGGTCCACACAGCCCGCACTGTGTCCAGGTTCTTGTGGCGGCTGGTGAGCACCACACACATGGTGTCGTGGCCTTTGCGAATCTGGGACATGGCATCCTCATCCACCAGCTCGGCCTGCTGAGGGATCTTCACAGCCTGCGTGGATGGCACAGATACTGGCACAGGAAGGGGCTGCAGATATGCCCTCCCCCATCCCTCAGCCAGGGTCCCCACTCACCGGCAGGAAGTCAGAGGCCTTCAGCCCAATGGGCTCATTCCTCGTGGCAGGGATGATGGCAGGCTCACTTTTGGGAGCTGGTGTGGGGGTGATGACTGGGGGCCGTGATGGGACCTCAAGCTGAAGGGTTAAAAGCTCAGCAGATGCCAACATGAGGCCCTCTACCTCCCATTGGAGGCATTGGCCTCCACCTGGAGCTCCAGCCCCCACCATGCCTCCACTTGGACCTACATTTGGCACCGGAACCTGCACGTCCATGGGAGGGCTGGGCTTTGAGGCCTCCTTTGCCGTGGCCGTGTCTGGGGGCAAAGGAAAAGCTCATTGGTGCAGGGGAGGCTGAGGAGGGTTCCTCCTGTCCTCAGGGAGCTTCAGGGAGATTCTACCACTAGGAGTGGAGTAGGTATGGGAGGTGAAGAGGTGAATGGGTAGTAAGCAGGGAGAGGGAAGAAGGTAGAGGCTTAGGAAACCCAGCCTCCTGAGAAGGGAAGAGAGGATACCTGTGTCTAGAGAAGTCAGGAGAGGCTATGGTAGACAAAGTGGCCCAGCCCTGCCCCTTCTCCCAGTCACAGCCCATTGGCTCCAGGCCCTGGGCCCAACCTTTTTCCACCTCTTTCCCAGGCCCCCTCAATGTGCCTCACTGTCCCAGGGCTGTCTACCGTTCCTCTCTCCACCTTGGCTACTGGCTCATGCTCAGGGCTTGGAACGTAGTGGAGGCTTTTAGGCAGGTGCGGGGGAAGCCAGAGATCATGCCTGGGGAGACCTAATGGAGCCGGGGCTCCTATAGGCAAGGGGCCTCTGTGTGACTCACCATCCTCCGGGGGTGCTGGGAAGGGCTCACTCCTCCGGGGTGGCGTCCGGCCTGCCGAGGCAAAGGGAGCTAAAGCCTCAGGTGCCATCATGAGTCCTTGCTGGATGGCCTGTGGCCCGGGCCCGAGCACATGTACACCTCCTCTGGCCCCATGGAGCCCTTGGGCCTGCTCGGTGCTCCCGTGGCCCCTCTGCTAAGGGCAGTGGCTGCAGGCCGCTGAGCCTATGCCAGGGACGCCTGCCATCCCTTAGTCCCATGGGAGCACAAGAACAGTGTGTGGCCATAGGGATGTCACCCACACCTCAGGCCTGAGCAGACCTTCCACTGGGAGGCTGGGGGAGGGGGAAGAGGAGGCTCACTGATGCTGTTCTTGGGCTGGAAGATCTCGTTGTAGTCCTCGGCATTCTGGATCTCAGCCTGGGACTCGCGCTCCTCCCGCTCCTCCTCACTGCTGGGGCTACGCCGCTCACTCTCTGAGTTGTGCTTCACCCTGTGGGTGCCCAGCCCAGCAGAAGGAAGCCAGTGTCCCCAAGGGGGGCCAGAGTGCTCCAGAGCAGTGCCATGACCCACCGTTTGCACCCTCCTAGAGCCAAGCACCCACCTCTGAGGCTTGCTGCAGGTCGTGCTGGGCCGCTCGTAGATGCGACGGAGAGGGATGCTGGGGTTGGGCAGCTGCTGGGTCAGGTTCCGGCTGTCCTGCACAGGGTCCTGGGCCACCGTGCCTGTCCTGGTGACACGCGTCAGGTCCACCACGTAAGAGGAGACGTTGCTCTGGGAGAAGGCCACACCTATCTGCAGGAAGCAGCAGAGCTTGGTGGGGCTGGGGGCTGAGAAATGGGGGACCAAACCCCAGCATGGAGGTTGGGAACGGAGGGGCATGAGGTAGAGGGTGGGTGCCTCAGCACTCTTACCAGCTGGTCATTGCAGATGGCTAGGTCAGCCACCTTGCCCCAGTTGACGAGGACCACATCAAAGCAGCGCTCGGGCTCCCAGCCGTACACCCGCAGCGAGTCCTGGCAGCCACTGTACAGGCAGCAGCCGTCGGGGTTGAAGAGCACACTCCTGGGGCAGGAGAGAGCTAGCTGTAAGTCCTGCAGCACTGGCCTGACCCCTCATACCCCAGGGCCCAAGACAGAGAAGGTGGAAGTGGAGATGGGAAAGGCCACCTTCAACTCATCCCGCTGCCCAGAGCAAAAGAGCAGGAGACAGCAACCACCCCACCAGGCAGTCCATGTGCTGGGACAGGCCCAAGTGGCCCACATACCTTACAGGCCCTGGCTCCCCTTCAATGCAGCTCACTACCTGGAACTTCTCTAGGTCCCAAAAGCGGATTGTCCTGCAAAGGAGCCATGTTGTGTTGGCAGTCAATCCCCAGGCTGCCTCTCGCCACACTCAAGGCCTGGGAAGTGAGCTGCTTTCCAGAATCCTCTCCCCCGCAGCCAGAGCTACAGGAGCCACGTGCAGGGCAAGGGCGGCCACACTGGCGGAGGGAGAGCAGACACGGCCTAAGGCAACAGGATGGGACAGCAAAGGCTCCCTTGTCCTGAGCTCCCCAGGGCTTGGATCCTGACATGCCCAGGCCAGCACAGGCCCATGACAGCGGGGCTGGGGAGTCAGAGCTGGAAAGGCACAGGCCCACGGTCCAATCTGCGTAATATAGGCCCACACAGGTGTGCACCACACAACAGACACACAGGACAGAGAGGAGGGATGGAAGTGCCAGGTGTGGTGCCCTGCTACCTGTCAGAGCTGCCAGAGGCCAGGAGATACTCGTTGGGGTGAAATTCCACCACATTGACAGGCCCTGTGTGACCAGGGAACTCGGACATCATCTTGCCAGCAGTCAGGTCCCAGAGCTAGGGCAGGGCAGAAGGTGGTCAGGGCCAGGCTGGCACCTGATTAGGAGCTAGACAGGGCACAGCCTACACGTGATCAGAACCCAGCCCCTGACCCTGGGCCCAGGTACCTTCACTGTGTGGTCGTCTGCAGCTGATGCCAACCACTTCCCATCAGGGCTGAACCTCAGACACCGCACAGCCTGGCTGTGTCCCTGTGGACAGAGCACCGAGTTCACCCAAGGGGCCTGGGCAAAGCTCCACCATGCTTCCCAACGGATGTCCTCTCTCTACTGAGGAGCAGCTGCACAAGGGGCAGAAGTCATGGCTAGAGGTTTCTCCATGTCCTCCTAGAGGGCTCCAGGAAATCAAGGATACATGCTCCTATCATTCGAAAACCATATATTTCGCAGCCTCTTTTAATGTCAGAGGCTCTGAAAGCCTTCTAACATACTGTACTCAGCAGAGTGCTCCTCTGAACAGTCACACACCTGCAGAACCTCAGCGCGGGGCAGTGATAAACATGGCTAAGCAGGGCGTTGGGGAGATGGGGGGGTCCAGGTCTCAATCCACCTATAATGGACTGTAGCCTCCCACCCCTAGGGGATGCCAAGTGGTGCCTGTGATGATGGGCAAGGGGGCTGTCCTTACCCTGTACCGGAAGACACAGCCTTTTCTCCTGATGTCCCAGAGCTGTGGGGAAAGGAGCCAAGGGGCTGTGTCAAGAGTGTACCTTCTCGATGCCCAAAGGCCAGGCCAGAGGGCAGTGTGAAGGCAGAGCGCTTGCCTGGACACTTCCACGTCATCACCGCCACAAAGACAGAAGTCAGGACACTGCTCAAATGACTCACATAACCCCATCCTGAGGAGTGCACCCCGACAGATGGCAGACCACCCCTCATGCAGGCCGGCTGCCGTCAGCCCACCTCACCTTGATATTTGTGTCCTGGGAACCGGAGGCTACAAACTCGCCATAAGGGTGGAAATCCAGGCTGCAGATGTTGGCTTTGTGTCCCATGAGTGTGCGCAGAACTGCCAAGACAAGACAGAAGTGATGGGGGGGGGGGGGGGGAGGACAGAGATGGCATGCAGAGGTAGGCCACTGGGCACACCTGTCAGTATTCATAGGAAGCAGGGATACCGCTTTAAAAATGGAGGAACCAACTAGAGCCTTACCACTCCAATGAACTGCTTTTTTCTTGCTAGGACAGTCATGTCTGCTGTTTCTCACAGCTCTGGAAAAGGCACTGTGCTTCCCCATGATTTGTGTGAAGGTCAAGGAACGATGGATGTCACCATGTGGCTGTGGGGCCTTTTGTGCAGGACAAACCCGGGGAGTGTCAAGAAGAGAGCGGAGAGAGGCCGCTTGGTTGAAAAAGAACCCAGGAAGGAGGCGGACATGGTGGCTCATGCTTGTAATTCCAGTTATCAAGAGGAAGAGATGGAGAGGATTGTTGTTCAAGACCAGCCCAGGTAAAAAGTGTGTAAGACTCCATCTCAACCAACAAAACGCTAGGTGCGATGGTGTGTGCCTGCCGTGCCAGCTGTGTGGGAAGTGTAAATAGGAGGATCGTAGTCCAGGCCAACATCAGCACCAAAGTCAAACTTTACTAGAAAAATAACTAAGGGTATGCCTTTAGTGGTAAAGTGCCTGCCCAGTAAGCAAGTACAAGGACCCGAATTCAAACCCCAGTACTGGAAAAAAAAATAATCCAGGAGGGCTTTTGGGAGGTGGGGTGTCTGAACAAGAATCGGAGGGGTGGAGGATGGGACAACTGCTACTGGATGGACAGCATGGGGGGACAGGGGAGCAGGCCCGGGAGTTCCACACTCCCTCTGGGTTGACATCTATGTGGGGATCTTGTGGAAGACCTTGAGAACGGAAAGGACACAGGAGGACACAGCCAGGGAAGGACAGGTCACCAGCCTGGCGGTCCAAGGACCAGGTTTCCCATCCGTGAAGGTGGGGTGGCAGCTCCAAGCACAGGCTGGAGGCAAGTGGGTCTCAGTGAATTCTCTGGAACCATACAAACCTGTTGCCTATCTTTCAATATAAGATTTATACTTGAGCTGTTTGGAGGAAACCAATCAGCTCATGAGTGCTGGGGCTGTTGGGTGTGGGAGCCCAGCCAATCTTAGGTTTGAGCCATGGTGAAATATGGTGATTTGTGAGGTAGTGAACTCTCTGCTGCAGAGGTGTTCAAGACTCCAGATTCGCCGGGCGCCAGTGGCTCACACCTGAATCCTAGCTAATCAGGAGGCTGAGGTCAGAGGATGGTGGTTCAAAGCCAGCCTGGGTAGGAAAGTCTGTGAGATTCTTATCTCCAATAAACCATCAGAAAACCGGAAGTGGCACAGTGGCTTAAGTGGTAGAGTGCTAGCCTTGAGCTGGAAAGCTCAGAGACAGCAGCTAGGCCCAGAGTTCAAGCCCCATGACTGACAAAAACAAACCAAAAACTCCAGGTCTAAGCACAGGTGAATGAATCTTGGCTTGTGAGTTTCACCTATCCACATCAGGCTGTGGGCTCAGGAGACAGATAGAACCAGAGTCAGTCCTGGCTCTCCTAGATTGCTATGTGACTGGACAATCACTTGCCCTCTGAGCCTAATGTTGGGAGGTGGTAAGAACGAAGAAACTGAATATTGTCCAGCATGGTCCTGACATAGTAGTCAACAAGGGCCAGTTGTAAATTATTCCATTCTTGTTCCTCCCTGCACAAGGCCAGTCTTCATCCTTCCTGTGTGTCCCTGGCTGGCCTTGCTTCCTCCTCTTCAGGCCTCAGTGGTGACTATGGCCATGAGCACCTCCTGTGTCCCCAGATGCATTCTGACCAGTTCTGGCGACTGGTGGGCTGGGAATTTTCCCACACTAGACCACAGCCCGTGCTGGTGGTAGGCAGTGACTCAAGAGTCAGACAGAGGCCACAACATAGGTGCAAGTGAGACCAGACTCTGCCTTCTGGGCAGCAGCTGTTGCAGCCGGGGCTGAGGGAGAAAGTCTGGGTCACAGTTGCTGGGCACAGGTAAGAGCAGCAGAAAGGGAGCTGGTATCAGCCTGGGTGAGGAGGCCAGAATCACAGCTCTACTCAGCCCAAGAGCCTGTGGCGGCAGGCTCTGTCAGCGCTACAGCTGGGATCACGTGTCCCATACCTGAGGAGGCTGCCAAGGCCCTACCATCTATGTTGGTGAAAACCCAAATTCACCAGCAGCCCTTGTCGCTGTCCAGTGTCCTGTGCTGCTGGGCCTGGCACATGCTGACCAGCCCCATGTTAACTCCTGCCCCCATTCTCTCCTTTGTAGCCTTCCTGTGGGATCTGCTGGGTGGAACATCCTCACCCACTGGCTGTACTGTGGGAAGCTGGCAGGACCACATTCCTTCTGCCCTTGCTCATCCAGACCAGAGATGCAGTGAGGGGCACCAGCTGCCTGTGCATGCAGGGCCAGTAACACCCAGCCACTCAGCCCCTCCAGCATCCTCCAGCGCTGGCTCCACCTGCACCCTGGCAAGTGGAAAAGAAGCGGGCCTGGATCCCCCATCTGGGCAGCAGATGGCAGCAGAAGAGTCCTGCCAGCAGTCCTGATACGAGTCCCAGACTAGGCCACCTGCAGCTAACAAGTCTTCACCAAGCACTGCACCTTCCTTGGCCTCCATTTTCCCCACCTTTCAAATCAGGGAGCCCTGCCAACCTGGTTCTCTATCCAAAGTACCTGGATGCCAAACCACTCTTGGGTTTGGCTCTTGGGGTGAGGTTCCCCACAAGCTGTGTGTGGGAACAGCCCCAGAGCCCAGTGGCCATCCACTCCTACACCTCAACACAAGGGACTGCTCGCATTTCCCTGAAACAGTGGCTGAGGAGGCCTGGGTGGAGGTGTGCACACTTGGGTCTCCCTTTGCTCTGCACTATGGTGTCTGATAATGACAAACAGGGTAGATGGCACTGTCCTCAAGCAAAGTGAACTTCAGACTGGGCACGTGTGGCCAAAGGCTGCCATCCACAAAGCATGTCCCCGGAGGGCCTCTCTCTGGAAAAAGGGGTGAAAGCTGTACTCTGAAGCTGTGGTGATGTCCGTCTGCCTGGCTCACTGAAGGTGGAGACTGGAGGCTGCCAAGCAGCAGCAGGCAGAGCCTCAGCCTGGATCTCCAGGGGCACACCTGCTCCAGTGTATGCAAAACACAAATGAGTACTCCATACTGAAAAATGGGTGCTTCCAGGTCAACTTCTGGATTTCTAGTTTCGTTGTTAACTGTCAAATTGGGAGCACTGCACCACTTCAGCCACGTGGTGGCAGCTCGGAGCCAGGGAGGCAGCTCACCTGCAGACTCCCATGTAGCTGAGGGCTCAAGCTTCCAGATAAAGGACCCCACAACAACCCAGCCAGGGATGAGAACCAACCACTGGGAAAGGTTGGAAAGGTAGGACAGAGATCCTATGAGCTTGCGGAGAAAAGAGATGGGGAGGAAACACATTCCCCAGGAAGGATCCAGCCTAGAAGCACTGACAACAGCAACCCTGGATCCAGAATAGTGATGGAGCGAGGGAGTGGATGGATGGCAGCCCCTTCAAAATCCCGAGGGTAAATACCTCAACTACAAAACCAAAGATGGGGAAGGGGATTTTCTTCCATAGCACACAGCCTGCTCAGCCACAGGAGAAACAAGATCCATCCCACAAGGCAAAAACCAAGAAAGAGGACACCATGGGACCCAGTTCAACACAAGGAGAGAGGTGGCCTGCAGGCCAAAGTGCTCCCATGCATCAGGTCTTGGGGACAGAGACTCTGAGAAAAGAGCTGGATTATGGGATGTGCTTGAGGGAAAAGGAAGCTTACTCTTCTGGTAGAACATTTGGGATGTGTGGGGTCAGAGCTATAGAAGGCAGAGGTGGAAAAAGGAAAGTGAGCTATAGAAAACAATCTAATCAGTTCTGGGTAACATCCAGGTGGTCCTGACCACAGAAATGTTGAGTGATGGGGTGGGGGTGGCTCTAAGAGCCAAATCCTTGTCTTCCATAGTATGAAATCAGTGTTTAATGCATGCAATTTTTAAGAGAAAAGAGAGAAGTTGCAGTGTCATCATGTTGTTTAGAAAACTGGAGAAGTAGCCCAGGGAAGAATGTAGTGAGATACTATCTCAACCACCATGCTGGGTATGGTGGTGCATACCTGTCCATCCAGCTACATGGTAGGCAAAGGTTAGAGCGCTAGGATCCTGACCAGCTCCAGGCAAAAAATGGGAGGCCCTGAGTTCAAAATCCCAATACTACTAAAACCAGAAAAACAAAACAAAACAAAAAAACCAAACAGGAGTGAAGCAGAGGCTTTCTTGATCCATCATGATTAATTCTGTAACTACGATTTTTTTTCCAGGTGCCTGCTAGGCAGTCACTATGCCACTGAACCTTGCCTCCAGCCCTTTTTTGTACTGGTTATTCCTTAGATAAGGTTGCACTTCCTGTGCGGACATGCCTGAGCTGGGATTTGCCCATTTCCAGCTTCTGGTCCTAGCTAGGATAACGGTCACCAGCTCTAAGTTGAGAAGGGGGTCTTGTGAACTTTTCTGTCCATCTGGCCTTAAAACAATCTTTCCAATCTCAGCTTCCCAAGTAGCTAGGATTATATAGGTTTGAGACACCAGCATCCAGCTACTAAGTTTTGAACTGTGTGTTACTTCCATAAAGATAAGCGCTAAACAAAACCAAGCAAATAGAAGATCTGGCTACTCCAGGCCTGCCCTGGGTTTGGTACAACATGGTGACCCCACTTTTCCAGGTGCCCTGCAGGGCCCCTCCCAACATGTGACTTCCTTCTAGATTCTGAATCCACACCATTGTTCACTGAGATATTTCCTGGGAACCACCTCAGGGCCAGCTACTTGGGACAGCAGTTCCCACTGCAGCAGGCAGATGGGCACAGGATGGGTGCTGTACCACCTGCTCACGTCTCCAGCAGCAAAGCACAAGCTTCCTGGAGGAAGCAGTGGGGTACACAAGGACAAGCCAGCATGCACACAGTGGGGAATTGGGGAAAAGCGAACAGAGGCCTACTTTTGGCAGCTTCCAGGTCCCAGACACGGATGGAGCCTGATTGGGAACCAGCCACGATGAGCTCCTCAGGAGTGTTGAGGCGGACACTCTCCACAGGGGATGTATGACCTGTGAGGCTCTGTGGAGAGAAGGTGGCAGCTTCAGTGTAGCATGGACACCCCTAGCTGCTGCCCCAATTCAGGGTTCCTAGGCCAGGCTTCAGCAAGCAGCAACTAAGTGGAGAGGCTGGTCCTGGGGCCACATCTGTTCCTTTGGCAATCAGGGCTGACAATAAGCCAAACCTGTCACCTTTCAACAACCTTCATTTCCCATGATGCTCCTGATGTGGATGGCACCTGCAGAAATGGCCCTTGGTCCCTTGGAGAGATCAGTGGACCAAGATAAGCACACAGGACTGAGAGACACACAAAAGATAAGGAGGTGGAGGTGCTGACTCATTAGTCTCAAGTTCACATTGGAGCCACATCTCCAGTCCTGCAGCCAATTTTTTTTTAACAAGAGACTGGAGACAAGTTAAATGCTCCTTCACAGGAACGTAGTAAGCGAAGCAGGGGTCCCCAGGGTTCCCCATGAAACAGAAAACCATTCAGCCACAGAAGTGGATGAGACTGATCTTCAAACACGAGACTGATCTCAGCGTGGTTCAGTGATCGAGCACCTGTCTAACATCAGCACCTGTCTTGAGTTCAATCCCCAGTATAGCAAAAATAAATTTAAAAAAAGAGCACCTTTTGCACTCTGAGGTTAAAAATAGGATGGAGGACCGTGTACATAGCATGACACACGTGTGAATAGTGGGAGAAAGGAACGGATGTGCACATTTTCTCACCTATTCACAAATAATTCTAGAGAGACACAGAAAGCATTTGGAACTGTGGTTGCCTGAAGAAAGGATGTAGAAGTCAGGGGAGGAAAGGAACTTCTGGAGGTTGAGCCATATGTGTGTATCCTATACTCCATAAATAAATAAATAAATAATAAACAGAAGTGGACTGCCAACAGAGGTACCCATTCCCAGGCAAGAGAGAACTTGGCAGGCTTACAGCATTGAAAGGCCTGGGGGCAGGGGGTGGTGGCATCTGTGGTGAGTGAGGCTGAGGTCAGATAGAAGCTGGAAGACTGAACCCAACATCCTAGGAGAAGTCTGAAGCCAGCCCCAACACCCAGGGCTGCTCTGGGAGGCAAGATGGGTTGGATCATGTCCTGTGTTTGGTTGCTTTTTACTGATCCGTTTTCAATTTGTGTATGTTAATTTGTATTTTGAGGGAAAAGGAAATAATTGAACCCTTACACCTAGAGTAAAACAAAACCCCTTGGATTCTACTCTTCCGGAGCCCTGGCCCAGAAGCTGCTATCTAAGGTACATCTTGGTTCTTCTCTGGATCTCACCAACAACGTGTCTAAGTTTCTGCTAGTAGACTCACCTCCCACCCATTTCTTCTTTGTCTATTTGAGCAAGAGTGAAAAGCTGTGGTGGTGAAGGAAGAGGGCTGAGGGAGAGCACAGGCTCCTATGCAACGGGGGAGAATGGAAACTGGTTTCTGGAGGGAACTTTGACATTACATTTTGAATGCTTTAAACTGTGTGCACCCATAGGTTAGACACAACATCCACGCATTTGCTCAAAGCTTTGGGAGGATGAAACTGTCCATTGCAGTGTGGGTTAGCAGGGCCCAACAGGCTCCAGGCAGAGGGCAGGGCGTGGCTACACAGCTAATTGCAGTTCAGACCTGCAATGCACACCAGGGAACTAGTAAAATGCATGTTGTAAGAGCATTATTTTCAACAGGGGAAATCCTCATGATATTATTATTCTAAAAAACTAGGTTACACAAGAGTAAAAGCGTATGCCAATACGTTTTATATAGATTTGTGTGTGCACTTGCATCTGCATTTTCATGTGCATGCATGTACAGCTATGCGCATTCATCGCATTATCTAGAAACACTCAGACCAGATACCAATGGTAATAGCTTTTGGAAAACAGAACATCTTTATGAACTTCTTGTGTCTCCCTTCCTTGGAGAGCAGTCAGTATCCAGCCTGGAAGATGGCTGTGTAACTGCTAGATCTGAACTAGCTCCTAACCAGCTCCAGCTGGTCCTCTCAAATTCTTTTTTGTGTTCCATGCTAGGAATAAATTACAATAAACACGCATGTGTAGATGGCAGGCAAGTAGATGGTCAGGTGGAAAAGAGGTACAAGCTTTCTGGTCAACCACAGGGCTTATTGGAACAATCCCAGTAAACTCTAGTCCTGTCCATTGTAGGAACCCCATTCCTGGGGGCTATTGTCCTAGCCATCCTGGGCTGCCCGCACCTGCTTACCATGTCCTCAGCCCCAGCCTTTGCTGTTGCAGGGCCCTCCCAGCCCATGTTTGGTCTCCACTGCTAGCCCAGACTCACCATGATACAGTTGGGTTTGTTGATAGACCACAGGTTGACGCGACAGTCATCCCCTCCCGTGGCCAGCAGTCGCCCAGAGGCCTTTCCCAGCACCAGAGAGGACACATTGCTGGCATGGGCGACAATCTCCTCTATGTGGGGAAGGAAAGAGAGAAAAGGCAGTTAGGGGGCTGGGATGAAGACACCAGAGAAGGGTGGCCCTGTTCAGACTGGAAGCTGAAACTACCCTCATGGGTTACAGGACCAACACCAGGATGTAGGCCTGACATGTAAATGACCATATCTCAACTTCAGTTCTCCCCATGGGATTCCTGAGTTTTTCCTCTTTCCACACATCCACTGGTAGTATGGACTGACTACACAGTTGGCCCTCCACATGCAGATCCAACCAAGTGCCAATGGAAAATATTGGAAGAAATGCATCTGTAATGCCGGCTGTGGTGGCACAGGCTTGTGATCTCAGCACTCAGGAGGCTGAAGCAAGGGGATGGCAAGTTCAAGGCCAGCCTGGGATACATAGTGAGACCCTGTCAAAATGTATCTGTACTTAGCTGCACAGGAACAGTTTTATCTTGTCTGATAGTATTCCACAAATGTGCAATACTATTCTAGCGCACACAGACTGCTGGGTGGTGTATGGAATCTAGAGGTGATTTAAAGCACAAGAAAGATGCACCTGCTTTCTGTACAGCCACATTAGATAGAAGGGATTTGAACACCCACAGTTATTCATATCCTTGCACAGGGGTCCTGGAGACAATCCAGTGTAGATATGGGTGTTTAAACTCAATTGTTTACATTGACTTGCTATTTTTAGCCAACTTTGTCTTAAGTACTAATATTCTCTAGATTCAAAATAAAAACAGTCACTAAAATAAAGTGGCCAGGCACAGGTGTGTCATACCTATAACCCTAGCAGAAACATGAAGAACTGTGGTTCAAAGCCGAACCAGGCAGAAAAGCCTGAAAGACTCCATTTCCAAAACAAAGCAGAGTTAACTAGGCACCAATGGTTCACACCTAAAATTCTAACTACTTGGGAGGCTGAGATGTGAGGACTGCAGTCAAAGCCAGCCCAGCCAGGAAAAGATTGTGAGACTCTTATCTCCAATTAATGAGCAAAAAGCCAGAAGTGGAGCTGTGGATCAAATGGTAGAGTACCAGCCGTGAACAAAAACACTGAAGGATAGTGCTCCGGCCTAAGTTCATGCCCCAGTTTGGGCACGTGCCCAACCCATGCACAGACACACACACAAGCAGAGTTAGAAGCACAGCTCAAGTCATAGAGCACCAGCCCTGAGCAAGAAAACCCAGTGAGTGCCAAAGCCCTGAGTTCAAACCCCCCAATAACTGAAAAAACAAAATTGAGTAATGAGTAATTTAACTCCAAAGTACTTCTCAGCTGATGCTAAGTCTACAGGAAGCCTGACTGGGGACCCACTTTCAGAATGACTCAAGTCAATGAACTCCAAGTGGCTTTTCCCAGGGGCCCTTGCAACTCAGAACACCAACCAGGTGTGGGTTTGAGCTTTGCTAGCTGCTGCTGTGGGGCCTCAGACAAGACACTGTCTTGGACGGGGGGGGAGAGGGGGGTTATCTGGTGAATGAAATCACAACATGGTCTACCATGTAGGCTTACTCAGGGGTGGCTGGGCATAGGCCCCGGGCTGCCAAGTAGGGAGTAAGTGCGGGTAATTATTAGGTTGACTAAGGAGCAGGTCACGGGGGAGACAGTAGCCATGGGGGCCTCAGGCTGAGGTGGCTCTGTGAGAGAACACAGAAGGCCATAGATTAAGTGGGTGAGCTGACCAGACAAAATGAAAGATAAGACATGTGGAGAAAAGGTACAGGGCCCTTCAAGAGCCCCTGCTTTGACTCAGCTTGAAGGATATCAACTAGCAATGCCCATATCTAAGTGCTGATATTATTGTTGTTGTTATTATTTTAGACAGCATTCTACTATGCAGCCCAGGCTGGCCTTGAACTCAGAGCTTTCTTGCTTCAGCTTCCTGAGTCCTGAGACTCTAACTCCAATTGACCAACAAAAGAGCTGGAATAGATGCCTAGCTCAAGTGGTAGAGCACCAATCATAAGGAAAAAAACTCAAGCAAGAGCTGGAAGCTCTGAGTTCAAGTCCTAGTAGCAACACACACACATACACAAAAAAGAGTCTTGGACTGGACATTCAGAATAATGAGTGTAGAGTAATGGTGGTGGGAGGGGGGAGTAGTCAGTGCTCCTGCTCAGTTATATTCCAGAGCCCAGTAGGCATCCTTTTCCCTCCCTTTCCCTCCACTGTCCACCCCAAGATGCTTTCATCTGACAGAGGAGGTCTGACTTGTAAGATATTGGAAATGCCTTGAACATCTTTCAGGCTTTCCTATTCCATTCTGTCCATTGCCCACCTAGAGATCCGGCACAGGGTGTGATATGTTCACAGTCTCACTAGATCTCACAGCAACTAGAGAAGGCAATCTCATCTTTTGGAGGAAACTGAGACTCAGAGAAATGAAGTCACCTGCCCACCTAAGAAGTGCCACAGTCATGACTTATAATAAGTCTCCTGCACCAAGAAGAGACAAAGCTGCCCACCAACAAGCAGCTAACAAAATAACAAGAGCCATACAGGAAAAATAAGTACTTACGCAACTTCCAAGCCGTCTTGGTGACCACAGGAGTGGCCATCCTTCAGGGACTGGCACCTGAAGCTCTACCCACAAAATGGGTATTTTCCTCTTGGGGTGGGGGTGGATCCCCCCCAGACCCACCAATCAAGTTGGCAGGGAGTTCCCACACATCCAGGCAGAGGGAGTGCCTCTCCTGGCCCTGGACTGCCAGGTGGCTTAAATCATCCACAGTAGTAGTAGTAGCAGCAGCAGCTGATGTAGGATCCTGGATCATGAATGTCAGGCTTGGGCCATCTCAGCTCAACACTGGGCTAAAATACAAATGAAAGCGATGGCTTGTTAGGAAGCTGAGGTAAGAACTCCAGCTCCCTAAGTCACCAAGGTCACTTGATAAAGGATCAACATCCACCCGTCACCACTGCCAGAAGCTGCAGTGCAAACGGGGAGGGCACCCCTTCAGGTAGGATGACTTGGAGGAAAGAAGATTCCAGAAGCCCAGATAATGGGAAAACGGACACGGCTTCGGGAAGGACCCTGCGCTTGGAATTGACGTGGATCTCGGCGAGTCATTCCAGTCACCTCACTTGGGATGAGAACTCAGAGGCTAAGCTTTAGGGTCCATAAGAAGCACTCTAGAGATAAGCCAGTGAAGTCCTCTCTCTGGGGAGAATCTCCAAGAGTCTGAGGGTCCAACCCATATTTATCCTGGCAGAGTTGCCAAGCACAAGAGCAGGGAATGAGGCCTCAGGTGTGGGTATGAGGTCATCTAAAAAGCCACCTCTCACCCTTTCCCGCGACCCCCTGCGCGTTCCCCGGGCCTCCCTTCCCGTGCACACCTCATCTCCCGAGTCGGCTGCGGCCCTATCGGACTCCCTTTACCCCCTTTCCTTGCGGCTACCGGGTTTTCATTCATTCTCTCCCCGGCTACAAGCGCCGTCCTCCCGCAGACCCTCAGCTCTGCTTCCGGCCTCCACGGTCTCCCCAGTCCCGCTCCGCCCCACGCCGGCTCCGCGGGCCCCAGGGCCGGTCCCTCCGCCGCACTCATCCTCCCGTCCCTCGGGCTGGCTGGACACCCGGCGGTACCCTTCCCGCGTCCGGAACCCGTTCCCCAAAGCCTGGTCGGCCCCGGCAGCCCGGCCCAATTCCGGGGCCATCTTCGCCCGTCCTCCGCGCCTCCTCGCCCCCAAGCCCACTCACCTGCAGCCGCGGCTCCCGAGGCCGAGGCTCCGCTCCCGGGCGCGACCCTTACTTGCCTCCATCCCCTGCCCTGATTGGCCGCTGCCTGACAACCGACCCTCACAACAAAACCTCCGGCCCAGAGTCCCGCCCACATCACCTCGGGCACCAATCAGTCGCCGCAGACACTGCGCCTCTCGCCAGGATTGGCCAATGGAAGCATGCATTTCTGCCGCTTTGGGTTAATTACCCGCCCTCCTAGTCTTGAAGCGGACTAATCACGAGGAAGAAGCGTTCTAAGAACCACCCTTCCGTCTCTAATGAATCCACGCGGGCTGCCAATTTTGTTGTTGTTGTTGTCGGTCTATCCGCCTCGAACTTTCCCTTCCCTCCCTCTTCCCTTCTCTTCCTAGGTCAGTCATTATTTGAAACATTTGCTAATCGCTCTCCAATGGCGGCTGCGCCAATCGCTTTAGCAACCGTCCTGGATGGGCCAATCAGCGTTCTCGTTATTGGAGAACCAATTCTTAGCTATCCAATGGGAAGGGGACTTCTGGAGCAGCGTGAAGCCGCGGATCTTCCATCTTGGAACCGGGCAAGTAGGTGGGGGGGGGGGGGGAAAGCCTTCGCTTATGTTTTGCCGTAGTTCCTGAATCCCTTTGCCTGACTGAGGACGATGCTGCCGCGGGGGTCTCTGGACGAGGCTTCTCTTCTTCGATCTGGACGCCGGCTTGAGTTCCCGAGGGAGGCTTAGAAGACAAATGGATTCCCGGGCCGAGTTGGGCGTGGCACCCTCCAGTGCCACAGGAGAAAGGATGAAAGGGCGAATGGCTGCAGCTGTGCGGGGGTCTGGGGTTCCCCCTACTCAACACGAGGGGAGGCCCCCGTGCCCGGGCTGCTCCGAGGGACTTGGTCTGCAGCTGTGCGGGGCCTGGGATTCCCCTTTACCCACCACGATGGGAGCCCCCCCCCCCCACCACACACACACACACAGTGCCTGGGCTGCCCAGTAGCAACTCGGCCTTAGCCTTAGAGCCCGGAACTGCGCGGGCCTGCTTGGTCTCGCACCTCGCTCAGCACACCGCTAAGGAACACTTTCCGGGTACTGATGAGGAAACTGAGGCCCCGGTGTAGGTGCTTACAAAAGACCTGGGGACAGAAAAAACAAATGGCTTGAGTCCTCAAACACTTGTTCTTAAAGGCAAAGCCTGGGCAATTCCCAACCGAACGGCAGCCCCTTTTGCCAGCAACAAGAAGCAAAGGTCCGTTGTTAGCTGGCATATTGGGGAAACAGCTCCAGAAGGGCCTTTTCAACAGAGGGCTGGATTAGGAGAACATCGGATCAAAACTGTCCAGCTTGTGTCCCCTCAACTTTTAATATAAAAACTTAGGGAAATCTTACGAGTGTATTGATCAACTAGACTTTTTTCTATGTATTCTTCACCCCTATTTATAAATTGTAGACATCATGACATTTCTATCTTGACGCTGATGACTCTGTAGCTCTTTAAAACAAGGCCCTTAGGCCCATACCATCATTACTACCCCTAAGAAAACTTAATTTTCTAACATCCAGACCATAATCAAATGTCCTCAATCATTTCCAAAATATTTAATAAATTGTTTTGCTAAGTAGAACACGGGCTACAGGTGTAGCTGATCTAGTATAGAGGCAGCCCTAGATTCAAACTCAAGCAGTAAGCGGGTAGAGGAAAGGAAGAGTCCTAGGTCGGGGCTCAGTGGTAGAGTGCTTGCCTTGCATGCATGAGGCCCTGGGTTTGATTCCTCAGCACCACATAAACAGAAAATGCTGGAAGTGGTGCTTGGCTTAAGTGGTACAGTGCTAGCCTTGAGCTGAAGAGCTAAGGGACAGTACCAGGCCAGGAGTTCAGGCCCCATGGCCCACAAAAAAAAAAAAAAAAAGCTTGTAGCTAGGCACCAATCTGGGTTTAGCATAGCTTTTGTTAGATGTTACTGATCTCTTGAAGAAACAAAGCCATTTGTGGATTGGCCTAATGATGAATTTGTCTGTTGCCATTTGGATTTGAAATATGGCCTCTAGGTTCAAGTATTCAAGGCCTGGTCTGTAGCTGAAGGTGGCTACTGAGAGGTGACTGGATCATGAGTCCATAGCTAGGTGGGCTCTGAGGTGGTACGGCTTAGCTGGAGTAGCTCACTGGAGGCATGCCTTCCAGGATATATCTTGTCCCCTGCCCTTTTTCTGACTCTCTGCTTCCTGTCTGCCATAAGACAACAGTTTTGCACTCCCACGTCCTCTCTTCTATGGTTTATTGTCTGGCAGTCCTGGTTGCTATCCCAGAGTTGTTTTATTTATTTATTTTTTTGGGTTGGTCATGGAGCCTCGGTGCTGTCCCTCAGCTCTTCAGCTCAAGTCTAGTGCTTTACCACTTGAGCCACAGCTCCACTTCTGGCTTTTTTCTGTTTATGTGGTGCTGAGGAATCAAACCTATGGCTTCATGCATGCATGCTAAGCACTCTACTACTGAGCCACCTTCCCAGCCCCCAGAGCTTTTTTGCTTAAGGTTAGTACTCTACAATTTGAGCCACAGCCCCACTTCCAGCTTAATGGATTCATTGCAGATAGCCTGCTCAGGCTGGCTTTGAACCCCAATCCTCAGATCTCAGCATCCTGAACAGCTAGGATTACAGGTGTAAACTACTAGCACCAAGCCCTGCCATTGATGTTTTTACCTGGTCATAGGTCAAAGCAATGGAGCTTGACCAAAAGCTAGACTAAAACTTGAAACTATGAGCTAAAATAAATCTTTGCTCCTTTGGGTTTTTTTGGTTTTCTGGGTTTTTTTTTTTTGTCAGAGCAGTAAAAAGCTACTACTGTCAGTTTCCTGGGAGAAATGAGTAGCCCCAGGCTACAGATAAAGAAGCAAAGGAGGAAAAGATGAGGGCTAGAACTTGGGAAGTCTGTAGCACAGATGGCAAATTAAATGAAAGTATGTTTATTTAAAGGGAAAATGAGAGAAGGGGGAGTAGCAGTGAAGCTGGGCTCCCTTGTGGGTAGCGTCAGGCAGGTGTGGTAAATATGAGAGCAGGTTTGTGATCTCTGGCAGCTTCCACAATAGTCCTATGAGAGGTGTCAAGCATAGACTTTCACCAGATCCATCAGCCGTGGGTCCTTGTACAGCTTTTCCTCCAGCGCCAAGTACTTGAGTGGGGCCAGCTCCTTGTGCCTAAGGTGGAAGGAGAGGAGTGAGGGGTTTCACAGTAGCAGCCAGATGAACTCCAGACGCTCTTCCTGGATCCCACCTCCCCTTACCTGTTGAGCCGTTGCTCTAGGATGCGGATGCGGAACATGGCCTGGGAGCAGTAGCTCAGGTACAAGTCTTCGTCCTCGGGTGTCAAGGTCACCTGGTTCTCCTGGTACCATTGCTGCTTCTTCTGAAGCTCTTGAGTCTCCTGGAAGATGGGTTTGTGTGGGGAGGGGGGGATAACAAGGGCTAACTGTCCCCAGAATGCAGGCTGTCATTCTACAGGTCAGCAGACAGTCCCCACCCACACAAGGAGAGGAGCAGAGGAAAGGGTCACAAAGGGTGGGAGCCTCTGGGGTCATATTTAGAGGGACTATGTCCCTGAGGTCAGAGTAGGGCTAAAACAGCCAATCAGGGAAGGGGATGTGGCAGAGTGCTTGCTTCATTGCATAAGCCCTGGGTTTGATCCCTAGCACTGTAGAAAACCAAACCAAACCAACAAACAAAAACCATGACTGGACAAGCTAGGGGCATTTCCAGAGCCTTTGAATTGAGAAAAATTATAGAGCTCTGTGGGTTCAAAGTGCGGAACTACACTACATAGAAGCTACATAGAAGTGTGTGTTTATCTTACAGAAACAGGACAAGAAGGAGGAGTTGTTATAATGCACCATCTACCTATCCATTCATTCCTCTGCCCACCCCTCCATCTACACACCTATTTACCATCTGCTTATCTATCCTTCCATTTACCCATCTACCCACCCATCCATCTGTCCATCTACTCACCCAGCCATCCACCCACCTACTCATCCGTTCCCACCTCCACAACCATCCAGGAATAACACTGGAGAAAGAACACTGACATACTCATCTGTCCACCAATCCCTCACAGATCTGTGAGATGCTGGGCAGAGAGTCCCAAGACCATTTTCTGGAGAAAATACCAAGACCCTCTCCCCTGCCAGGCTCTGGGCTCACCTTCTCGAAGCGGGCCTGGATGAGGTTGGCCTTGTCGATGAGCCGCTGCTTGAAGTCGCTGAGACACTCGTCCTTGAGACGTATTGCTTGCCACCGTGTCAGCTTTTCACCCGGGGGAAGCTGGGCCAGGAATGGGGCCAGGTAGTCCAGCTGGGTCTCCACCTGCCGCAGGTGCTCCTCGTGCAACACACGCTCCTAGGGAGGGCCCACTGAGTCAGGAGGGCCTTCAGGACACCTCCATCAGCTCTGCATCAACAGTGGTCCGCCACCAGGCCAGCTCCCCACCCAGCACCCCATGCAGGCACCTCAAACAGGATTGACCATGCTAATGGCCAAACGATTCAAGACATCTACCTCCCCAAACCTATTTGCTCCTCCTCAGACAGGATCAGATCTATAAAGCACACAGCCAGGTGCCTGACAGTCCATAGGAGATGCTTACTCAGTAATGGCAAAGGTTAAGTATGATAAAACTTCATTTTTTTTAACATCTTGGGGCCTTATGCCCTGCATAGATAGAGAAGATGGAGATCTGAGCCAAGGACCTCCGCTAGGGATCTGAGAACAGTCATGGGACTGGGCTTCCAGCTCCAGCCACAGCTTTGATGGTAGCCTTGTGGAGGTGGGCATACCATTCACATTCTTTCCCCATTTGCCCAGCCCTGGGTGGGGAACCTGGCCTGAGTACTTTGGGAGGGACCCTAGCAAGACTGATCACTCAGCATCATGACATCATCCCCTTTCCTGCTAAGTGCTGGTGGCTCACACCTATAATTCCACTCAGGAGGCTGAGATCTGAGGATAGTGGTTCAAAGCCAGCCCAGACAGAAAAGTCTATAAGACTACCCAGAAAAAGCTAAAAGTGGTGCTGTGGCTCAAATGGTAGAATGCTAGCCTTGAGCACAAGCTCAGGAACAGCACCCAGGCCCTGAGTTCAAGCCCTGGGACCAGCAAAAATAAGTAAAGATTTTCCTAGTTGAATCCCAGTGGTTTTCCCCATGCTGGAGGCCTGGGGAGGGGGGGGTGGGCAGGGCGAGTCCAGAGAAAGCCAGCCCTGGGAAAATTGGTGATTCAACCATAAGGCTCACCATGGCCTCCCGATATTCCCTGCTCTTCTCATTGCGCTTCGTGTCATAGATGGAGATGGTCAGCGCGTGCTCTTCATCCTCCTCCTCTCGAAGCTTTAGGATCTCCAGCACCTGAATTGTCAATCAATGGAGGCCATGACCAAGGCCCCCACCCCCACCCCAGCCCTGCCATTGCCCACCCACCCATCTCCATGGGGACTTGCCTCCAGCTCTGACTCCCAGGCCTGATGACGGGACACCTTTTCGGCAGCCTTCAGTTGCATCATGGTCTCATACTGGTAGAGAAGCTTCTTGGTGTGCTCCATAGGCTCCACCTGGGACCAGAGCCACCACAGTGACAGACACCACAGTGACAGACAGACTGCCACACTTGAAGCAGTGACACTGCTCCACTCCAATTACTCCCACCTCTTTCTAGCTACAAGGCAGTTTCCTCATCTATTACAATTCAGGTAGACAGTGGCTTGCACCTGGAATCCTAGCAACTCAAGAGGTTGAGATCTGAGGATTGCAGTTTGAAGCCAGCCTGGGCAGGAAAGATTATGATACTCCTATCTCCAATTTGCCAGAAAAAAAGCCAGAAGTAGAGCTGAGGCTTCAGTGATAGAGCACTACCCTTGAGCAATAAAGCTAAAGGGATAGCACTCAAGCCCCAGACTAGCATCACAGATATAGATGATAGATCAATTGATTGATTGATCAATCAGTAGATAGATAGGAAACTGAAGATGAAGAGGGGTTATGGAATGCAGGGATTTCACTAGAGAGGTGAACTCCTCAAAGGAAGTAAGAATCTCCTCCCTCCTACATAGATCCCAGAGACCTGGGGTCTGCTGACTAGAGATGGGGGAGGGGAAAGGGAGGATTTTTGGAGGAACTACAAAAAAGAGAAGGACCCATGGATGTACTGGATTCTCAGGAGAGATCCAGATGGGTTGTTTTCATGGTTAGGCTTCAAGCGCCCCATTGTGGGTCCCCCCAGGTTGCCAGAAGGGGTCACAGGGCACAGTTCCCTCCCTGCATGTGCCACTGCCCACCTCGAAGCTGATGCACATGTCCGGGGTCATGATGACCTTGTTGCCCTTGCTGTCCACCTCTGTGCGCCGCAGGAACTCCCGCTTGGACGTGGTGATGTGGTCCTCGCGGCAGTGATAGCGCAGCTGGATGCGTTCCTCGTTGATGAGAAACACGCGCTCCGCCACGTCCTCATCCGCGGACTTCTCGGGGTTTCGGTGGAAGCACTCTGTGATTTTCTGCACGTCCAGAAGGACAACAACGTATGGGTGCATTCCAGGCACAGGATGGTCATGGCCCTGAGCTCAGAGGTCCTTGGGAGGAGCGGGTGGTTTGTGATGGCAGTGGCTTCTCAGGGCCAAGCCTCTGCAGCCCAGATGACTCTGGACACCTTCTCTAGCTCCCTCTACCAGGCTGCCTGCTTAACCCCGGTGGTGGAGAGCTCACCATCTCTCCTGCCTACCCCGTCTCTAGAAGTCTGCTAGCAAGGACATTTTTGGTGCATGTAGCCTGTAAGCACAGTTGCAAAATAATTTGTAATGACTTGGAGAGGGGGGAAATTAGTTTACTGTACAATAGGTAACAGAAGGAATTGAACTCCCAATCTGCCTTGGATATTCACTTAGAAGAAGCCCCTCAGAACCAAATCTATGAATCCTCAGTTAATATTTGAGAGGTACCATTCTGAGATATTTTTACATTTTGCAATTTTCAAGATTGATTGATGATTTATTTTTAGTACAAAGAGTTAAAACCAGGGCTTTGTTGCATGCAAGGCAAGCACTACTTTGAGCTATACCCTCAACCCTTTTATTTTTTTTAAATTTTTTTGTCAGTCATAGGACCTGAACTCTGGGCCTGGGCACTATCCCTCAGCTCTTCAGCTCAAGTCTAGTGCTCTACCACTTGGGCCACAGAACCACTTCCAGCTTTTTCTGCTTATGTGGTGCTGAGGAATTGAACCCAGGGCCCCATGCATGCAAGGCAAGCACTCTACCACTGAGCCACCTTCCCAGCCCCTTTTATTTTTATTTTGTGCTGGTCCTGGGGCTTGAACTCAGGGCCTGGACACTGTCCCTGCACTTTTTTGTTCAAGGCTAGCACTCTACCACTTGAGCTGCAGCTCCATGTTCAGTTTTCTAGTGGTTAATTAGAGATAACAGTCTCACGGGAGTGAGGCAGGACTTTCCTGCTTTGAACCTCAGTCCTCAGATCTCCAGCCTCCTGCGTAGGTAGGATTACAGGTGTCAGCCACCTTGGCTTATGTTTTGTTTTTGAGCCAGGATCTTACTACCTTTTGCCCGAGCTGGCCTCAAATTTGAGGGCCTCTTGCTTCTGCCTCCTGAGCAGCTGGAATTTTAGGCATGTACCACAATGCCTGGCTTTTCCAGATGATTAGCCAGGAGTGTGAATTCATATGTAAAAACAAGCTATGAAGTCAGGTGCCAGCAGCTCATGCCTATAATCCTAACTACTCAGGAGGCTGAGATCAGAGGATCGTGGTTCAAAGCCAGCCCGGGCAAGAAAGCCCAAGAGATACTTATCTCCAATAAACCATCAGAAAACTGGAAGTGGCGCTATGGCTTGAGCTGAAGAGCTGCACCTAGGTGCAGAGTTCAAGCCCCATGACCAACAAAACAAGCAAACAAGCTGTGACACTTGGTTCTTGCTTCAAGGCACATCTAGCACCATTCTGTATATAGTTAAGTCTTCTGGCAATATCACACACCTCGATGCTACCAGAGATCAAGGGCTGTATCCACCCAGGTGACCTCTGTCTGCCAGAGAAGGTGGGCACCCTGATGCCCAGGGCAGGCACACTCTTACCACAATGGGCCTTGGGTTTGATTCTGCGGTGCACTGAGTGGGCTTCTTCACTCTGGGCCCGAAATTGATGTGGCGGTAGGAGAGGAAGTCAGAGCGCCCAGTGTAATACTCAGTCATCGTCTTGGGAGTCTCCTCCCGCTTGATCAGGCCATCCACACGGGCTGACTCGTAGAACTCCATGACCCGGTCCATCTCAGGCTGCATGGACTTGTAGGAATGTACTGGGGATGGCAGGTGGGGGCAGGGGAGAGAGAGAGGGAGACGATGGTGGGGAGCCGTAGCTGTGATTACTGGTAGCCACCCAACTCTGGCTTTCTTTGGAGGCAGTGTCTGGCTTGCTACCCAAGGACCCTGTCCATAGCCAATGTTGCTTCCTCTATCATATTCATCCCCCCGCCCCAGCTCCTGGCTAGCCCAGCAATGGGATTCATGCACATACCACGAAGAGCCTGGGGGTGGCCAGGCTTGAAGTAGTCAATACATAAGCCCGTGGTCTTGTTCATATGCTTTAGCTCCAACATGTCTTCCCGATTCTGGTACCATTCCTTGATCTCCAAAATCTTGGTACCTGAGGTGAGGTGGGGGTCGGGGAGGGTGCCTACTGCAGCCAGGCCAGGTACCCCGGCCTCCCACCCACTGTTCCCAGCAACAGGGACCAGTGATGACACACACACACACACTGAGGGTACGGGCATATTGAGGGTCATGGCTCTCCCTACAGCTTCCCACCGGCGGCCCCGCAGCGGGAGCTGCACCCTTACACTCCAGGTCCTGGTAGGTGGTAAGGCGGCACATGAGGCCGTTGTTGTTGAGGTACGGGGCCCACTTCTCCACCTGGGCCTTCTTGTACTGTATCACCTTCTTCCCATTAGGGCAGCGGGTCTCGAACGCTGTGGACACAGAGCGGGTTGGGCTCTCCTCTCTTTCTAGACTGCAGAGCGAGTCTGTATACCCTGTCCCCCAGGCCCCAAGGAGAGAAGAGCTGGGGCAGTGCTGGGCAGAGACCTTCTGGAGAGATTTGGATTTGCATCACCCACGAGGATGGCATATCAAAGCTCTTTTCTTCGTCTTCCTTTTCCTGTGGGAGAGAGGGATGCTAGCCAGGTCCTGGAGGAGACCCTGGCAAAGTCTCTTCCTTCCTTCAGAGCCCAGTCAGGGGGGTGTGAGGGCTTGGAGGGGGGGGTAGCACATGTCAGGAGCACAAGCCCCTCCCCCAGCAGTACCAGCCCCCAGGCCCATCCTCCCCTTCTTGTCAAGGCTTCTTGTGGTGAGGGTCCTTTCACCAGCAAAGCTCCTGGAGTCTGGTAGAGCCCATTCACCAGCAGCTAAGGCAAGTCCTCCACTCTGAACCAGCTAGGAGCCTGGGGATGGCTCCCACAGTGTCAGACTCCCTGGACAGCGGCTGTTCTGGGCCTCGTAGCCAGCAGGGGGCGCCCATGCTCAGCAATGAGAAGGTTGTTCCTGCCCTGGCCACAGCTCACCAAGCCACGGCTCACTAGGCCATGGCCCAGGAGGTAAACCAGAATCACTGCTGAGATTAGAGCTACTGTTTCAGTTCAGACCCCGGCTCTGGATATGCCCATTGGGTGAGTGACTTCACCCCTCTGTGCAAGTCGTCCACTCTACCAGGGGACAATACCTCACTGGGTGGTGGTGATTTTATTTTATTTATTTATTATTTACCTAAGGCCTCTAAGTAGATAGGATTACAGGAGTGACCCACTAGCCTGGCTTACGTTTTTGTTGCTGTTGTTGTTAGTGGTGGTGGTGATCATGGGGCTTGAAGTTGGAGCCTGGGTGCTATTCCTATCTCAAGGCTAGCACACTGTCACTTTGAGCCACAGCTCCACTTCTGGTTTTATGGAGGTTAGTTCCAGATAAGAGTCTCATGGGCTTTCTCGCCGAGACTGGCTTTGAGCTGTGATCCTCATATCTCAGCCTCCTGAGTAGCTAGGATTACAGGTGTGAGCTTCCAGCTTGTTGGTGGTGGTTTAAATGAGTGAACTCAGGTTTGACACCTGCTATGGAGCCTGGTGCTCAGAGAGACCATGTCATGCAGGTTCTGCTTTGTTCTTATATCCCTCCAGACTCCAAACACAGGTGTCCTAGCTCCCAGTGCCTTAGAGAATATGGCTATATTTGGAACTGAGGTAATGAAGTTTGAGTGTGGTCCTTAGGAGGTCCTTAATCCAGCCTCCAGAACTGGGATACAAACCGCTGTTATGTAAATCCCAGCCTGTGGTCACACAGTTAGGCCAACACATCTGTTCCGTTTGGCCAACACATCTGTTCCGTTTGCTCTGCTATGACCATGACCCCTCCCTCATTTCTGTGCAAGTGAGGGAAGTTCCCAAAGACCCCAACACTTGTCCAAGGCCACACTGACACACCTGCAGTCCCCGGGGGCGGGGGAGGGGCTGACCTCATGTCTGGAAGGCCCTGGCTTGGGAGAAGAAGGAGGCTGACACTATGAAGCCATTCTGCCAATAGTCTTTAGAATACCTGACAGAAATCTGAAGATGAGAGTGACCAGCCTTGGGGCTCCCCCAGGCTTGAAGAAAGGGTCTTATGACCCAACTCCCTGGAGCATATACTCTAAAGGAACAGGAAAACCCCTGAACCCCTGAATTCAAGTTTCAGCTCTCCCCTAACTCACTGCAAGAGTATGGGCCTCTATTTACATATTCATAAAATGAGGGCAGAGTCCAGACTTTGAAGAACCTATAATTGGTGCTTGGTCCCCTCCCCTGCATGGCATACACATGCTTTTAGGGGTGTTTATCAGGCATCCTGAAGCAAGACAGGGTACACATTTTTCTCACTCCAACCCCACTGCCTCCCATGCCACTGAGGCTCACCAGATCTTCAACATCATCTTCATCATTCAGTGTCTCGTCGTCTTCCTCGGACAAGGCCAGGCGGTGCTTCTCTGGCCCTGGAAGCATATACTCCCACTTCACAGGGTCACCCAGATCAAAGATCAAGTCCTGTTGGGGAAGGGGAGTCAGTCACCCTGCTCAGTAGTGATGGGAAATGAAACAGTTGCTCCCAGAGGCCAGCAGGGGCCTGGAACTTGCAACACTCCTGTCTCAACATCTTGAGTGATACATACATATATATATATATTTATATATATATATATATATTACAATGGAAGCTGGGCACCAGTGGCTCATGCCTATAATCCTAGCTACTCATTGTAAGGTCCCATCCTGGATGGCAAGCAGACTCCACCCTCCTCACAGCAAAGTCTCCGCCCAGTACCTGTGTTACCTAGGCAAGTGGGACACCTGGAAGAGGTCACATCCATGTCCGCTGAGGTCACATTTGAATTTGATGTGGCCACAGCTTTCTCCACCCATACCCTAGAAAAGGCCTAGCCCAGGCCCAGACGCCCTCTTTTTCCCAGCTCTCTCTCCTTCCCAGCTCTCTTTCCCAGGCCTTTCCCCTCCAAGTGGAGGGCCAACATGGCCTGGTGCCAGCCAGAACGATGAATAAACCTACCCCTTACCTGAATACCATGTGCATGGTGCTGTTCTTACTCAGCTACCTTTTTTAAAAAACCTAACATAAATGGTGCCAAAACCCAGGAAGGGCTTAAAGTCAGGATAGGTGGGATTCCTCTCTGCTTTTTTTTCTTTTTTCCCTTTTTTGCTCTGAGGAATACCCACAGTTCTGACGGCCTTTTGCGAACACGTCTGTCTGCTGCGGACACAGCACAATGGTAAATGGTCAGAAGTCTGTTTACTTTCAGGTTCTCTTTGCTCTCTCTCTGCCATTCATGTCCAATTTTTCTTATCTCTACCTTTCTCTTTTCTACAACATTTTGGATTGTGCCCTGAAGAGTGCAACGCAGGCTGGGTCCCGGGGACCCCCCTCTAGGTTCCCTCTCAAAGGCTAGCCAAACTAGGCTTGATCTATTTGTTCAGGCTTTCTTTGCATTTTTTTCAGGAATTTGCTGTCTTGGCCACATGGTGGGTTAAGGGTTTGCCCCATCTGACCCTTAACCTTCCACCAAGCTTACTACTCCTCCATCCATCTATTCTAAGATGCTTTGCTAACAAGTTGCTCTTTTCACAGACCCGGATAACCGAGGCCCAACCATCTGATGTGCTTTGTTAGCAAAGATGTCTAAACATTGTTGTCAAAATTTTAGGTTTTGAGTTTTGTCTTTTTGTTTTGAGGTGTATATTCTAGTACTAACTATGTGACTCTAAAATATTGGACATATCTGTGCTAAGATTCTCACATCTAATGAGTTTTGTCATTTCAGAATATTTGTTGGCCATTCTTGATAAGGACCAGGTAAGCTCTACTTATTCTATTTGATCTCCTTGTTGCTTTAATTGGAAATAATAAAGGGTTTTTTGTAGCAAAAATTGCAGTTCAAAGCCAGCCTGGGCCGAAAAATCTCTAAGACTCCATCTCCCAACTAACCTGCAAAGAGCCAGGCTGGAAGGATGGCTCAAGACTCTTATCTCTAACCAGCAAATACTGCAAGTGGTACTATAACTCAAAGTGGTAGAGTGCTAGCCTTGAGCAGAAGTGCTCAGGGACAATGCCCAGGCCTTGAGTTCAATCCTCCTTGAATACCAACTGGGACAAGCCATCCCAGCAACGAGCACCTAGACTCAGCCAGTCTGGAGAACAAGGGAACATGGAGAGGAGTAAGAGGAGATGATGTCACATCAGCAGCTTTGTGCCTGCCCTTTCAAAATTAACCAGAGCCGGGAGGTCAGTAGAAGTCAGAAGCCTGCCCATCCAATGTCTATACCTGTCTACCTATTAACTGGACAAGAATTTATATTCTTGCCTTTGTTACCTGACTTCTCTACCTAGTCGCCAGATGTCAGAAGTAGCTAGGGACATTTCTACCAACATTTTTCAGCCCCAAGTCCTTCCTCTTGCCATTTATTTGCTCTCTAGTATTTTTTTCCAGCCCCTCAATGCCTCATGAGACTCCTCCAGACTTCATCTAAGGACTCACGCCACCAAGGGACAGCTGCTGCTTGCTGCCTTCTCTGGGAGGAGACCAAATTCCAGCCTTTTATTCCTAATGTCAAGGCCCCTTGTCAGCAGGAAGTAGCCAGAGAGAATCCGCGCCTTATTCCATGATTATTAAAAGGCTGGAATGTAAGGTCTGATCCTGGATGGTGAGCAGACTCCACCCTCCTCACAGCAAAATCTCTGCCCAGTACCTGTGTTACCTAGGCAACTGGGACACTTGGAAGAGGTCACATCTGCATCCGCTGAGGTCACATCTGGATCTGATGTGGCTATCCCTGGTCCCACCTCCTCTTACCTGGTCCCACCTCCCTTTACCTGGCCACACCTTTCCTGCCTCTACCCTAGATAAGGCCTAGCCCAGGGCCAGACGCCCTCTTTTCCAGCCATGTGGAGTGCCAACCTGGCCTGGTCCCAGCAGGTCTACTGAATAAACCTACCCCTTACCTGAATACCATGTGTGTGGTGCTGTTCTTACTTGGCTACCTCCTTTTAAAAACCTAACACTCAGGAGGCTGAGATCAGAGGCTCATGGTTCAAAGTCAACCTAAACAGGAGAGTCCGTGAGACTCTGATCTCCAATAAACCACCAAAAACCTGGAAGTGGTGCTGTGGCTCAAGTGGTAGAGCACTAGCCTTGAGCCGAAGAGCTCAGGGACAGACAGCATCCAGGCCTAGAGTTCAAGCCCCACTACTGACAAAAAAAAATTACAATGGAATATAATTATATATTGTAGGGAATAGGTAAAATAAAAAAGAGAATACCCAGGAGTGGGCACGACTTCTGGAACTCTGCTATACTGACAATAAGAGTGCACATCGAAGCAATCATTTTGGGAAACAGGCTCTACTAGAATGGAACGTGTGCTTTTCCCAAGTATACACCCAACAGACACAACTATATGTTTGCTGTGTAGCTGCAGGATGGACAAGTTCTGGTGTATTCTCAAATAACCAGAAATGATAAACAATGCATGTGAACCACCATGGCTGTACCTAGGTCATAAGTGAATCTTAGAAGCATGGTGATGGTAGAAGAATGCACGTGTGAAGGATGCGTGCTGGGCTGGGCACCCATAGCTCACTCCTGTCATCTTAGCTACTTAAAAGGCTGAGAGCCAGGGACTGGGTATGTGGCTTAGTGATAGAGTGCTTGCCTAGCATGAATGAAGCTCTGGGTTTGATTCCTCAGTACCATATAACAATAAATACATTAAACTTCTTTTTTTAAGGCTGAGATCAAGAGGTTTGAGAGTTGAAGCCAGCTTAGGCAGTCAAAACTTCATCTCCCAAATAACCAGCAAAAAGCCAGGGTGGGGCATGAATTAAGTGGCAGGGTACCTCCTTTGAGCAAGTACAAGGCCCTTCATCTGAGTACAGGCCCAGCACTGACAGGTAAGGATGGCTCACACCTGTAATACTAGCTACTCGGGAGGATGAGATCTGAGGGTTGTGGCCAGCAGCAAGAAAGCCTGCAAGACTTTCTATCTTCAATTAACTACCAAAAAGTAAGGGGGGGCTGGGAGTGGAGCTATGGCTCAAGTGGTAGAGTACTATCCTCAAGCAAACAAGCTCAGGAACAGCACCCAGGTTCAAAAATAAAGAAATACACAGTACTACCAAAAATAAGTCAATAAATAATGACACTTGGGGGTTGGGGTGGAAAGACAGTTGGAAAGTGGAGTAAGGCTGCCATAGGTCAAGGCTGTAGTGATTGCTTGGAGCAGAGCTAGAATGTAAACATGCGTTTACATTTTCAGCTACAGGGGCCATGTAGCACTCTCCTGATTCAGTGGCCCCCTCTCCAAGGCCCCCATCCCTACCCCAACCCACCCCCCCAGCACCCATCCACCCTCTGGCACCTTGCAGCAATTCCAGCAGTCCTGCATGTTAATCCAGTAGTTCCTGTGGTTCCAGAGGCTCTCGATGCCCAGGAAGTGATCATCCTGAGTGGGATAGCTGCGGCCCGTGAGCGGGTCGATGAAGAAGCTCTCGGGTACCTCTCGCTTCCCGGACAGCACCAGGACCCAGCAGTGCACCCGCAGGCCATGCAGGGGGTCGGGCTTCTCCTTCTCTTCCTCCTGCAGTGGAAGGCCAGGAGGTGACTACCAAGTTGCTGCAGAGGGGTGAGAGGGAGAGGCGGCCAAGACCGTCCCTCTGGGCTGAAGTGCTGCAGGAGAGCTCTGATTGTAAGGCCATCTCTGAATCCCAGGTTTCAATCAATAAACTGCCAAGATCTGCGAGATCTGAGGGCTGGGGGCATGGCTCAGGTGGCAGAGCACCTGCCTAGGAAGTATGAAGCCATGAAGTTCAAATCCCAGTACCACCAACTAACTAAATATATAGACTCTGTTGGTCCGTGTAAGGGATTTATTGGCAGTGTGTGACAGTCAGGAAAAAAGTCCTTGGTAAATCTGAAGAGAAGATCAGATGGGCTCCCTTATCTCATCTGGGGAGCTGTGACCGTGGTGATGCTAGCTACAGTGCCCTTCAGTCTTTCTCCTCCCCTCCCCCCGCAACATGGTGGAACGTATAGACTCAGGCCTGCTGGACTCACCAAGAGTTTTTCCTCCTCCTCCCGTCTTCGCTTCTCCTCCTCTGCCTTCAGCTGCAGCTGCTTCTTGAGCTCCTGATCCTGCTCAAACTTGCTGTTAAGGTCTCGGGGTGGTTTGATGGCATACTTCTTAGGTGGTTGCTTCTCCTCACTCTTGATTATCTGTCACCCAGCAAGAGAGGATGGGTCAGTGGCCGGGCCTATGTACAGGCCCAGGCTGGAGAGACACAGTCAGGCTCAACCAGCCAGGCTTGGGACCTATGGGTCCCCTGGCTCCTCCAGCTTGTGGGCCTGCAGACCTGCAGCCCTGACAGCAGAGGGCACTGCAGCACCAGTGCCAGCACTTCAGCACCCGCCCTTTCCTGTCTGCAACTCAGCTGTATCAACCCAGAACCACGCAGATCTGAGCCAGAAAGTGGGGCAAATTGTGAGGGGCTGGCTGTAGGGCTTATTTCCAGGTCCCTGGGTCCCCATTCCTGTGCTGCAGACAGAGTCCTGGAATTCATCTTGTTCCTGGGAAATGCTTTCTGTCTGTAGTATAACCATTTTGCAAATCTAGAGATGCTTTTCCCAGAAATGTGTTATCAATTTCCAACAGTTTCTTGTGTCTGCACCAGTGTGGGCTACCGCGGAACTCAACAAACCTGTGCAAGGCTTGACACCACCCACCGAGGGAGCCCTTGTACCTGGGTAGGGGAGGGTTGAGACTCAGGGTCTGTTTACTTTATACTCATCTATTATTTCCTTGGATGCAAATAGCTGCAGAACCTTTATCAAGCACTCAGGGGACACATCAAATAGGGTGACTTTATATAGAAGCCCTGTGTGTGTACTATTTGGCACCAGGAGAGCACAGGGACTTAAACTGAGCTTAAGCCAGTGTGATGCTGATGATAGAAAAGTCACTGTGGTTTGGCATGGTGACATCCTCCACGGCCCTGAGGGATAAGGCTGCAAGCCTACCTCCCCAACCTGGGGAAGCCCATCCTTTGGACATGCTATGGGCAGCACGTGCAGGCTGTATGTACCTCCTTGGGCTTCATGGTGAGCGGGCACACCTCCCGGGACAGGTCCATGTGGCACAGGTCCTGGGAGCCATAACCGTTGACACAGTAGGCATCGTAGCCAGCGCCGATGAGCATGGAGCAGAGCAGCATGCTGAAGTCGAATGAGTTTCCCTTCTGGTACCGCAGCACCGTGGTGGAGGAGTACAGGTGCGAGGGCTGTGCCCAGGCCACGCCATTCAGCATGGGGTCTCTGGGACGTCTCGCTGCCCTCCCCTCCCACAGTTGCCTCAGGGGGGCAAGCAAGCTGCACCCCCCCAGGGCCCCCCAACTCTTAACCTAACCCTGTGCAATCCAAATGTGCCTGTGACTTTAAGGGACTGGACAACTTCTTATAGGACCATGGGACACTAGAACCTGCTAGTCTAATTCCCCTTCTCCCTTCTCCCTTTCCCTCCCTTCCTCCTTCCCTCCCCCCACCCCCCACCCCCCGCCCTCGGTAATTTCTATTATTTGCCTCCAACTTTCTCATCTCCTATTCATGTCCTTTATGAAGTTCTCCAAGTTAACCCTTTCTTCTTCTCTCCGTCCGTTGTTCTCAGTGAAAAGCTGACCAGGCTGTCCAGAGGCCCAGAGATGGCTGTGGGGCACAATGGCACACACCAGTAATGCCAGCTACTTGAGAAGTAGAGATAAGAGGATCGCAGTTCAAGGCCACCCTGCATGGAGAGACCCCTGGCTCAACCAATAGGCTGGGTGTGGTGGGGCATGCATGGACGGTTGTGATCCCAGCTCCATGGGAGGCTATAGGTAGAGGAGGATCAAGGTCCACAGTGAAAAAATAACTAAAGATAAATGGAGGCTGGAGACATGGCTCAAGTGGTAGAGCACCTGTCTCGTAAGTACAAGGGCCTGAGTTCAAACCCCATACCATAAAACATAATAATGAAATAAAAGCAAAAGATAGGGCTGAAGGCCACAGGCAGCTGAGCACCTGAAGTCATGAAAGGGAAATTGAGGCAGAAAAAGGCAGGAGCCAATGGAATGGTGTTGCTGTGTGTTATCAGGTACGTGGTTGTCCCTCACTGGGCCTGTGGCCTGGGCTTGGCTAAGCCTCTTTCCCAGATCTTGCCTAGCTTATCATTTTAGATCTCCTAGGTCTACTGATGCCACCTGTGAGTGGCACTTACTGGCTTGAGGGGGTCAGGCAGGAGCACCATGGTGAGGAAATCGGAGACAAACTGGGCACACGTGTCCCAGTTGTAGAGTTCAGGGTAGGGCATCAGTGTGGGCCGGATGGTGGTGCTTACAAACTTCTGCAAGGGGAGAGATATTGGGGGAAAGGAAGCATGCACAGTTGAGCTGGAGGTGGGGTAGGGGGGAGGAGGGCAGGGAGCAGAGCAGTGCTTGCTGTGAACATGGCCATAACTAGTGGGGATGGTGGTGGCTGGGATGCCCCCGTCACATCACCACTCATGATGGCGCAGGCCTGCTGTGGGCTGGGTGGGGCACCTGAGGTCCAGAGTGGCCAAGCTAGCTGCCCCAGGAAGCCAGGGCTGAGAAAGGAGACCAGAGGCTCTTGCAGGTGTGAGGGTCTTCCAGCCCAATCTAGTCAGGGGCACCTCGTGCTGTCCTGGTTAGAGACCGGGGCCATCTCTAGCCCTAGATGTAGCTTCTACCCCAGAGACATAGGAAGAATGGACCAGGACAGATTTCCCCTGACCCCCACCCCCTTGCACACAGTGGATTCTCCCTTTCAGTCATCTTTCAGGCACCTCCTGGAGTGGGCCTCAATTTCCCAACTATAGATGGGGGCTGAGGGATTAATCCAAAAGGTTGTAAACTAGCCAACCCCCAGGCTGAGAGCGTCCTAAACCTACAGCTCACCAAGCGACTTCTTGCATTTGTGTTATACTGCTGCCTGCTAGGTGCCCATGGTTCACGCCTGTAATCCTTGCTACTCAGGAGGCTGAGATCTGAGAAACATGGTTCAAAGCCAGCCTGGACAGGAAAGTCTATGAGACTCATCTCCAATTAACCACTAGAAAACCAGAAGTAGGGCTGTGGCTCAAAGTGGTAGAGCACTCGCCTTGAGCAAAAGGAGCTCAGGACAGCAGCCGGGTTCCAAATTCAAGCCTGGCAACCACCACCACCACCAACAACAACAATAAAGTCAGCTCCTATTCAAATTCCAGTGCTTGGTCTGCTAACCCTCCACCTGTGATTGGCTCAGGGACCTTGGAGGACCCTCCCTCCATTTTACTCTCCTTCACCCCTGCCTCCACATCCCCACCCTTACCGGAACATTACACTCATTCAGGGGGTACAAGAAGAGAGGCACGCGGTCGGGGCACAGATGGCTGTACTGGTGGGAGTAGTTGTCCGCCACCTGCAGCAGATGCTCCTCCTTGGTCGAGTTGGATTTGTAGGAAGGGGGCAGGTTGGAGGTGTCGATGAGGTCCTGTGTTAAGATCCTGTGCAGGAGGCAGTGATGGTGTCAGCCCAGGTCTGCTTGGAATCTCTAGGCCCACCTGAGCTGCCTTTGGCTCTGCCCCTTCCTCGGGCAATCTTGAGAGGCAGGTGTTGATCAGTGCCTGTATTTTTCCACAGAGAGATCAAGTGATTTGCCCAAAAGTCACACACACAGAGCTGGAGGGAAGCAATCAGGAGAGGGGGTGTCTCTGAACCATGCATCCTCTCCCCCAGAGTCCTCATTCTGGAGGGGAGGTTTGAACTCAGAACCTCTCACTTGCTAGGCAAGTGCTCTACTGCTTAGTCATACCTCCAGCCCTATTTTTTTGCTGGTTATGTTTGAGATGGGGTCTTGTTTCCTGCCAAGGTGCCTGCCTGGACCACAGTCTGACTATTTTAGGCTTCTTGCTGTTGCTGGGATGACAGATATGTTGGGATGGAGTCTCACAGACTTTTCCGCCTAGGCGGACCAACAATCTCAGCCCCCTGAGTAGCTTAGGATGACAGCTTTGGGTTGAGAAGGGGGGTCTCGCAAGCTTTCCTGGGCTGCCCTCAAAATTTGATCCTCCCAGATTCTCAGTCCTCCAACTAGCTCAGATTTCAGATGTGAGCCACTGGCCTCTAGCTCAGAGCCCTCCCTCCTAACCACCTCCCTCTGTGTCCTGGCTCCTTTCTCAGCCCAGGTACCATCTTGCCTGGCTCTTGCTGTACCCAGCCCTCTGCCTGAGCCATGACCAGGCAGGAAGTCCCCACTCCCCACACTCACAAGGGCTCTTCCACACTGGGGATCACAATCTCCGACACCTTCTTCTCCAGATCTCGGAGCATCTCCTGCGTCATAAAGCTTTCATCCCTCCTTGGCTCTCCTGGCCTCATCATTTTCTCCATCTTAGCCCGTTCGGCTCGCTCAGCAGCCTCCTCCCGCTCAGCTGCCTCCTCCTCCTCCACTTTCTCCTTCAGGACCTCCATCCTGGCGTCTCTGGCTATCTAGGAATGGACGTTTCTGTGAGGAAGGGAAAAGGGGATCACTTTGCGATCATCACAAGCTTCCATCACTTGGGGAAGGGACGGCCTCTTCGACTCCCCTCAGTGACTGGAGCCAGATCTGAACCACTGTATTCTCCTGGACCTCATTCTCCAGATTGTCTTATGTGAGTGTACGTGTGTATGTGTGTGTGTGTGTGTGTGTGTGTGTGTTGGGGCAGGGTGGGGAGGACACAGTCTAGTCTGGGGGAGAGCAATCCTACCTCCAACTCCTGGGACCCTGCACCACCCCCAGGCCTAAACAACACCCATAAACTTCCCTGGAAAGGCTAAGGCTGGAGCCCAACCTCCCACACCCAGGCCCTTGCTCCCCTCCTCACCCTCCAGGGACAGCCTTAGTAGCTGTTTGTCATCTCCATGGTAACAGCCGAGGGCAGGTCTTAGGAGAAGAGGCTTCTGGGAAATGTAGTCTTCTGTGAGTACCCAAGTAGCAGTCCACAGTTTTTTGAGACCTGCAGAGCAAGTCTCCTCAAGAGCTGATTGCTAAGGCATTCAGGAAGTTCTTATAAGCCAAATACAGCTTTATTACAAATTAAACAGTAAAACCTCCTAGGTAGTAATTTTAGTAAAAGCGAATGCAACCCCAAACTCCCCACTTACTAATGATTTGACTCTATTTACTGCCATACATGGAGTGACTTTCCCTTGGTATTGCAATCCTTTGGCAACACTACATGAGGATAAGCTGCTCTGCATCTCTTCCCAACTTCCCATCAGCCTAAAGGGCCAGGAGATTATTCACAACTCAGAAATGGGCAAAGGCTGCAGACCAGGGAAGCCAGTGGCCAGAAATATGTGTCACACTGCTTGTGCTGAGGAGGGAGGTGGCGGGGGGAGGTGTTGGGGGGGAGCACCTTGTGGCCCTCACCAAGATGGAAAAGCATTGTGGGTCCTGGGGGCCGCTGGCCACGAGGCAGAGTCAGGTTTCCTGAGCAAGCTCTGGGCCTCTGATTGAGTGGATAATCTCACAGAACAGGAAAAGCTTTCAAAATTCAGAAGGGGGTTGGGGATATAGGTCAGTGGAAGAACCAAGCTTGCTTAGCTTGTGCAAGACCCTGAGTCTGATGCCCAGGAATGCACGCACATGCACCCACGCAAACACAATCAGAAGAAAATAATAGAACACTGAGTGTAGCATTATGAGTTTTCTCTGGATTATATTCAGAGGCTGTATTTGTGCTAATACAGCCATGTACTTTGTGAGTGTGTGTGTGTGTGTGTTACTATTGCCCAAGCTCTTGAACATAGTAGGCAGGCACTCAACAACTTAAGCCCCAGCTCTACTTATTTTAGAGAAAGAGGCCCATAAAAGTCATAATGTGACCCTGGGAAGACTTCAGACAACACTGATGAGTTAGACAGGGCAGGGGAGCTCATGAAATGGGAGAGGCCAGAGGAGAGGGCAGGTATTATGTAGAGCGAGGGGCTGGAGGAATAAGTGACAGGTGTCACTCCTCTCAAGTATTCATTTACACCTCTCTACCCATTCCCTTGTCCCTTCCCTAAAGACAACCATTCTGATGTGTTCTTTTTCCAGTGTGTATTTTGCTGGCAGGTGGGTGTGGGGTCTATGGCCAATACTGCTGAGTGGGTCCATGCTAACGACCCCTCATTCTCCCAGTGATTGAGACCCAGCATACAACCCTCCCCGCACCCCCCCCCCAGTCACCAAGTTTTCTTTTCCTGGGGCTTGAACTCAGGGCCTGGGCACTGTCCCTGAGCTTCTTTTGCTCAAGCCTAGTACTCTACCACTTGAGCCACAGTGCCACATCCAGCTTTTTCTGTGTATTTACCTTTTTAAGGAAAAAAAAACCTGAAAAACACATAGAGTGCTCCAACTTCTCTCTGACCCACAGCTGCATGCTTTCTTTCTTCCCACAGGCTGAAAACCCAGGGAAGGGCGTGGAATATTTCCAGATCTGGGTAAAGTTGTTTGGGTTGCTGTCTGCAATCATTTCCTATCTTTTAATATTAAGTTGCCTAAAGTGAGATCCTAGAGCAAATATGTTTTATTGCTTGTATATTTGTTATGTTGAAATGAAAAGATACTAGGTGTGAAGAAACTTAGGTAGAACAGAGAACCAGTCAGGATGCCATTGGGATATATCAAGGCCTGCTTTGCCTTGGCTTATGGGTGGAAAGGGGGGTGTGTGTTGGGAGTCACTTCTACCTTGCCCTCAGGCAGGGAAAGGACTCCGCCCCTCAGCCCAGGCATGGCCCTGGGCTGGGGTGGGTAGGTCTCTAGATAAGGAGAGTCACTCATGGTGATCATGCCTCTTACCTGTGCCAGGAAACAGCCACCAGCGTGTGGGTAGACAGCCTATAGAGTCTGCCTGGGAAAAGCTACTGGAGTAGGAACAAGGTGTCAGATTCTTCTTTTTCCCAGAGAAGGAATCAGCACCCCAGGGAAGCCCAGACTTGGCTTCAGTCCAGCCTGTGTTGGACAGGTGTCTGGGACCCCTCCCCACCAGCCCAACATCCTTGGCGTATCTTTGTGTAAGTCAGGTGGATGAGGGGACAGTCAACTAATCCTGAATTGGTGCTGGACACAAATTTCCTTACCTTGTTCTCAAGATAAGGCAAGGACTTTAACGCCCACTTTATGGAGAAGGAAGTGGGTCTCAGAAAGGTGGCTTACTCCTGAATAGCAGAGTCAGAATTGAAACCCTGCCCAGCAGGCCTGAGCAGATGTTTCTGGGATTACTTAGCTCTCCAACTTGGAGAGACTTTGGGGAAAGGGAGCCCTGAGACTTTCCATCTGAGAAACAGATGTCTGAGAAGATAGGACCACCCCCACCCACCCCAGTCTGTCCACAAGAAAAAAAAAAAAAACCAGACTGCGGCTCAACGGAGAGTTCACAGTCTAGGATGTCCCTTCTGAGAACACAGCACTTGCATGAAGTGTGGCCTTCCTGTCGGTTGGTGTGGGGGAGGGGAGAGGCCCAGGCCTTTGGGCCGTGGGGGTGGGGGGGAGGGAAGGGGTGGTGAAGAGGGCATAAGCACCCAGTTAGTGGGGGCAGCGGACTGGTAAGCCACAGCTTATCAAAGGATTTGATAAGGACTCTGACTCCCCATCTTGAGAGAGGCTGCGAGGGTGTATGTGGTTAATGGGGCGGGGAGGGGGACAGGAAACTTTGGAGGCTGTGGAGCCAGGGGAGGGGAGGGACATGTTGTATCTCTGCTGCCACCTGCCTGTGCAGACACACAGAGGAGACTCCTCTCCTCTCCCTTCTCCTCTCCTCCTCTTCCCCATTGTCATTTCTGCTGCCTTTGGCTTCCTACTGGCGAAACCAGCCTGTGACTGGAAAAGGAGGTCCAGCCACTGGAAATGACCTAACCCAGCTGTGTCCAGCCTGAGGTGCACGCCTTGACATAGAGCCTGCCAGCCTGGGGCCAAACTCATGCACCCATCTGCTCAGCCAACTGGTATTTATTGAAATCTTTGTGCTGGTATTTGGTTGGGCGTGGTAGTCGTGGTGAGTCAGGCGGTCCAGGAGCCCTGATGCTGGGGCCTCAGCTCACCCTTTCCTCACTTGTCCCTTGGCCCCACACAGTGACCAGCCAGGAGAGGAGGGCTGGCCTAGAACCCCTGCTTCTGTCCACACTCCTGGCAGCCAGGGAGGGAGGGAGAGCTGGCTCCGAATAGCATTGGCACTGAGTGGTATTCTCACACTGGAGGGGCCACAGCCACTGGGGGTGGGGTCTTTTTGAGGGGGCAGGCAGAGATCTGAACAGACCACCCCAGAGCACACCTTCAGGCCACAACAAATCCAATGTCCCAGAGCATCATGGGCCCTGCTTGGCCCTGGCGTGGGAGCAAGTGATGGGGGAGTAAGGGGCACTGGGATCCTCTTGGGTCTCAAGCCCTTCTTGCGACCAAAGGAAGGAGATCACAGGAGGAAGGCTGCTGTGCTTTGGAAATAGGACAGGGGGTAAATGTGACTTCAGAAACTTTAGCTTCTTGGACCCACAGACCTATCTGGATGGGGCCTTTGAAGCCATATGGTCTAACCTGGACCTCATCTTCTCCCTCTCCAGGCATACTGTCCAGAGAAGGCTCAGAAAGAGGCAGGGAACTGCCCAAGGTCACACAGTAAACCAGAGCTGAGAGCTGGGCTGCAGCCTCCTATTCTTGAGACACGGAGGGGGCCTGGTCCAGGCGGGCGGTCCCAGAGGTTGAGGACATGGTGCTCTGAGTTGGGAAGTAGAGGACAGTGAACCAGCAAAAGATGAAGACACCTGTCATGGAGAGAGAGCTTCTGTGAGCCTGGGGCAGCCACAAGAAGGAGACATGCAAGAGCTCGTGAAAAATATTTAGGCAAAAATGCGCCTACTCCTTAGAGACAATCTTAGAAATGAGAAAACCAAATACACAAAAAAATCACCTTGAACTAAAATAGCTACATGTATCTAGAAAAGGCAAATTAAAGGCATTTCTAGACCCACAAAATAACCACTATCACTCTAGAGGGTTCTCACACTATCTTTCTATAAAAGATGACTACAGGATGTATTTAGCAAGACGAGGGAAGATGTGGAGTGGAGGAAATTAGAAGAGGCACAGAAATTGAGAAATACAAGTTTTGTGTGTTTGAAGAGAATTTATAATTTAAAAAAAATACTACACGGGGGCTGTGAATGTGGGTTAGTGGTAAAGTGCTAGCCTTGAGCAACTGAAGCTCAGGGACAATGCCCAGGCCCTGGGTTCAAACCCCAGGATTGACAAAAAAAAAAAACAAAAAACAAAAAAACAAAAAATCACCACTACACACAATAGTAACAATATTGAGAAGAGTCCAATGGGAAGGTGAAATGTCCCAAGGGCTCTGCTGTCTATAAGAGGAAGAGAGAAACACTGAATAACTCAGACTCTGATGAGATGAAACTCAGCAAAGTGAGGTGTGTGGACTTAGATATTACCATAACTTATATGAGAATAATGATATTATGATTTCAAGATATGTTTCTCCCTGGCCCTTAACCTTAGATGGTCCAAAAGTAATAACTTCTATTGCTATTAATTTAGATTCCCTATTCAGAAGGAAAGATCTAGCTGGGTTAAGCACCAAATACAACAGTCATTGCATTCCTTCTGGGAAGGCTCCCGAGACTGTGTTCATGTGCCCATCAAGTCACCTGACCTTGTCCATGTGACTGATTGGGCCAGAGATGGTCACCTGATAGGTCCTGGAGTGCTGAGGGGGCCATATTGGGTAGTCATTTGGGGCCATAATCTTCATGGGCAGAATAATTCAAGAGTTTCTACAGATGGTAGCAGAGACAACATCCAACTCCAGAATGAAAGATAGGGGAAAGCCTTGCTTTGGTTTGAGTGGCTTTACCTGACCCAGTTAACAGCCTCTCTTGCTGCCCTGGATCCTAAGAGAGCCCTGGGTATTTCAAATCAGTATTTTGGGATTGAGCTCATCTGAGTAGGATCCTGTTTCCTGTAACGCCTCCTCTCTCCCATTTCCTGGGACCACTCTACTGGGAGCCTTACCTTGTAGAGAGTTGAAAAGGGCAAAGACATAGATGGTGGACAGGCCCAGGGGCGTGAGGATGGCCAGTCCCCAGGTCATGCCCACCAGGCTTGAGAGGCCCAGCACGGTGAGGACAGCCTTCCAGCTCTGCTCCGGTTCCTTGCCAGCTATGACACTGGACAGACTGAAGATTTTCCAAGCCACCAGGGCTAGCACCCCAGCGTTGAAGAGGAAGGTGATGAGGAAGTAGCTGTGGACGGTGACATAAAGGGCCACTTCTTTCTGGAACCAGCACCTGGAGGGGGTGGGCGGCCACTGTGACTCGGGGAGGTAACCCCTGCGCAGCAAGCTCCAGACGTCTCCCCTGACTATCCTTTCGTACCAAGAAGGTGGTTCTTCCCACACCCCTGCTTTCCCACCCGGCCATCCTCGCCTGCTTTCCTGCTGGGTGCAAGCCATCCACAGGTCCAGCCACCCTTGGTGTGAAAGGACCAAGTCAGCCCCAAAGATCATTTTATTACTGAAAATTATGGTGCCGAACCCTGAACTAGCTGTCACCCTGTAAATCAAACGGTTTGGCATAAACATCCCACCTTCTGCTCAACCTGAGGAATCCTCCTGGAGGAGCGCCAGGGCAGCTCTTCCATGGAAAGTGACTCCCCATCCCCTGTAGTCCCCCCCAGACACACGTGCATTTAAGGCCCCAGGCTCCACCAGACCAGCCTAGTGCAGAGCCCTGGCCCAGGGGTGGCTACCATGAGAAGTCATCAGTGGGCATCCAGGTGGGCCCAGCTGCCCTGCTCCCTGTACTGCAGGAGGCCTGAAGGGCATCTACTTCCCATTGTAAAGATGGGGAGACTGAGGCTTGACAGGCTTGCCCAAGGTCCTACCATGGGTAGGCAGCAGGGCCTGGCTCCATCTAGGCTGCTCAGACTTGTGGGCAGGTGGTGCCTTGCACCAGGGCCCCTAAGTGACAGGCAGGTGGTTGAAATCCCAGTCTCTCCTTACCAAGCTGAGCTCTGGGCATGGGGCGTCACAGGAGGTAGGGGTGGCCCCGGCTAGAGAAAGGCATTCTGCCTCCTGGTTCAATCCCCCCTCCCTGCCCAGAGCCCCCTCTCCCATTTCATTTTTCTTTTCAGTTTACCCAGCTAGGCCACCAGCCAGCAGGATGTGAGGATCCTGTCTGCCTGGACAAACTTACCCTCTCTTCCTAGGATTCCCTCCTTGCCAGCCTTGAGACATGAAGCTAGGGTCTGACAGCCCCCGCTCCCCACCACCCCCCGCTCCCCACCACCCCCCGCTCCCCACCACCCCCACTCACAGCTCCAGTGTGGTTCGGTTTTCCTGGTCACGGATGGTGTAAAGCCCATAGCTGTTGGCACTCCCAGTGCCAAGGACCACAAGGGCAGGCAGGCCTGGGTGTGAAAGGAAAAACATGTGACATTGTCTGGGCCCCCGTGGCATATGCCCCTCTGATCCTCTCTAGCCATCCAAGAGAACATTTCTCTGTCTCTCTATCTCTGTCTCTGTCTCTCTCTCTCAGCAGTCTACCCTCTCCCTGAGCAGTCTACCCTTTCAGTCTACTTCCTGTCTATTCTCTGTCTGCTCCCTGAGTGATCTACCCTCCAGTCTCCCCCCCCCCCCTGCAGCTCCTACCCCAGCCTAGCAGGCCCAGCTTCAGGAAGTAGTGTCCAAAGTAAGTGTTGAAGACCCGGATGGTGAGCAGGTAGAGGTGGAAGGCTTCCAGGCCCATCCAGGTGAACGTACAAAGTAGGAAGTAATGGAAAATGGCAGCCCGGACCCAACAGGAAGCAGGGGAGCCTTGGGAGCCGCTCCCTGAATTGATCAGGAAGGCTAGATTCAGGAGGAACAGGCTGCTGCTCAGGGCCACGTGGATCTTGGGGGCATCTTCTGACTTGAACCTTTGCAGGGAGAGCCTGAGGTGAGAAAAGGTAATTAGAGACACCAAGGAATGGCAGCTTCTGGGGGAGAGCCCAAGTCCAGCCACCCCACCATCTTGGATCCATCTTCACAATCCTGGCTCTCATCCCAATGGCCAGATTGTACCAATATCCCTTCCGATTTTCTGTACTAAGTTTTGCCCCATAGCAGGTAGTTAGAGAAAGGGACCACACACTGTGCAATTTTTTCAATCTCTGGTTAGTCTATAATTAGTTTGGAATGAACTGTTCTTAAAGAAAGACCTCAGTTTGGGGGCTTTATTTCTGTCTGAGCATCTATGTCACCACCACATGCTTTGCGGAGCTCCTGATGCTCTGAATGGGGCTTTTTATGGCATGGGTGATAGGAAGTTGTGAGAGGCAGAGAAAATCAAGTCCTGGGGTGGGGTGGCTCGCTTGAACTCCTGGATCTAACCCTGCCTGAAGGCCTCGCAACTTGGGTTTTTTAGTTATATGAACCATACAGGCTTTATTGTGATTACGTCAATGTAGGTTGAGTTTCTGCCACATATAACTGAAATGACTGACAGGTGTCCACCCCTCTAGCCCTACTTTGTCATGGAGACTCAAGGAGGGGCTGGGCGCTAGTTTGTAATCCTAGGGTGAGAGGTGAGGACCTCAGTTCAAAGCCAGCCCAGGCATGAAAAGTTTATGAGACTCTTATCTCCAATTAATCACCAGAATATCAGAAGTGGTACTGTGGCTCAAAGTGAGAGAGCACTGGCCTTGAGCAAAAGCACTCAGGAACATCACCCAGGCAGGAGTTCAAGACCCACAATCAAAAAAGGGGGGAGGAAAGGGGGTGTCAGAGACAGCCCATCAGGGCTCCTTTTACTCTAGCTTCTGTCTCCCTGGGGAAGGAGGGAGCTGTGGGTGGCACAGGAGTCACCCACCTCAGGATAACATAGAGAAGCATGGTGAAGGCCAGGAAGATCATGGAGACGCCACAGCCTGCTTGGGAGATGCGCGTGAGGACCTGCACGGTGGCCATATCCAAAACTGGCCTCTGTGGATGACCCCAAACCCAGTCTACATTAGTGAAAGGCTGGGCTCACCACCCCCAAAGGCTGTATGGGGCAGCCTCCTCAGGTCTTGAGGAGTCCTGAGGCAGGCAGAGCAGGCAGTTACCAGCAGCAGGGCGAAGAAGGTCAGGTGGTCACAGCGGCAGACGGTCCCCTCAGCCCCCAGCTCCGTGGAGCAGCCCTTGGAGTTCCAATCTCCTGTGGGACACACACACAGACACACACACGGACACACACGGACACACACACACACACACACACACACACACACACGGGAGGTGAAGGGAGAGGCAGGGAACAAGACAAAGGGTTGGTGGGGCCTCCCACTCAGCCTACCCCAGAGGGTCATCCAGGCCCTACCTTTACTCCCATCCCAGAACACACAGGTAAGGATCATGTTCTGAAACCAGAGAGTTGGGGTCAACAGAGGAAGGAGGGAGGTTCCCAAGGGTGTAGCCCACCTATGCATTAGGTGGAAGGTGTTTGGGTGGTTTGCATGGGAAAACTGACTGTGTGTGTGTGTGTGCGTGCATGTGTGCATGCGTGCATGTATGCATGCGTGTGTGCATGTGCGTGTGTGTCTGTGTACTGGGGATTGAACTCAGGGCCTGGGCAATGTCCCTGAGTTTTGTTGCTTAGAGCTGATGCTCTGCCACTTGAACCACAGCCCCACTTCTGGCTTTTTGTTGCTTCATTGGAGATAGGAACCTCATGGATTTTCCTACCTGGGCTGACTTCAAACTATGATCCTCAGATCTCAGCCTCCTGAGTAGCTAGGATTACAGGTGTGAGCCACCAGCACCTGACAGACAGCATTGTTTGCGGGACCCTGGACTAGCATGTGAAGGGTGCAATCATGCTGAGCTGTGAGTGGGGGATGGCCTGTCTGCACATGGGCCCTTGGGGAGTGGTGGATGGGTGCCCACAGGGGGGTGTGCGCCTGTGACCTCCAGAGTGGGAGGGGACACAGCTGCATGTGCACGCATGTTCCTGGTCACAGTGTGTATGTGGCCCTAATGGCTGCTCTTGGGTTCAGGGCTCCATGTTTGCTCTGAGCTCATGTGAATGTGTGGGCTCACCATCCTGGCCGGCTCCAGGTAGAGGACTTACAGGGGGCTGACGCTGGTGTGAGAAGGTGATCTCCAGAGGCTCTGACAGTCCTGTGACGGGTGTGTGGCCCACACTCAAACCCACCACGTGACTGTTCAGCACACGACTACCATTGTCCAGGAGGAGCCGGGGGCCCTGTGAGGGAGACAGGGAGGCCAGGCTGCAGGAGATGCTAGGCCAGCCCAACCCAGAAGCTCCAGGACTTGGGGCCATGGCCTGGAGGGGGACAGGGAACGTGAACCACCTGCTACTGTCATCTTGCTTGCACTGGCCTGGGTTCTATGGGCCAAATCACCTGTGCCAAGCTGTGCACCTGACAGCTCTCCATTGCTGAGCTTCAGAGCTCCTCTGCCCTCTTAGCTGGAGGCGCACAGGCTAAGATTAGCCTAGAAGTAGGGTACTAGGGGGCATCTCCAGGTGGGCGAGTATACCCATATCTGGGGATATACACACGTATCTGTTTATAGGTGGACAAACACCCACTTCTGGGTCCACACACCTGGCACACACCTGCAGAGTTGCATCTGAGCATCAGAGTTGCATGTTGTACACAAGGATTTGTGAACACCTGAACCCCATTCACTAGTGGGGGCACTGGAGTAGGGGGTGCCAGCATGAGTCTGGAGTCCATAAACTCTAGAGACCTGGCTGCATTAGAGATGCTAGGCGGGCAGGGGGGTGGAGGGAGTACTCGCCCCTTTCCTCCATTGATGCCCTGCAGTGAGGGCAGGCTGGGACCTGGGACCCCCGGCAAAGCTAGCATTGAACTTGGCATCTACCCAGAGTCTTCAGCAGACCTCCTACCTTGAAGACATCTCCCATGCTGATGTCCAGGACAGTTATGGCCAACCAGACCGTAGACCCATTGCTGGGCAGGGCTGCAAAAAGGCTCTTGGGAAGGCGGACTCGGTCAGGGGGCTCATCCTCATCCTTGGCCACCTGCCTCGGAACCTATAACCACACACCCAGTGGATGTCATCTTACCCCAGCGATTCCAGCTCCAACACTGGCCCTGCCACCACTGCAGGTTGGGAAGGGCATTGAAACAGATGAGTGGCCACAGGACCTGGGGACTGACAGCCCTGACAGGCTGGATGCCAGGGCTCAGACCAGCTCCTCTCTTCCCAGAGCCTGTGAAGAGGGGCTGAAGACTCCTGGTCAGGCATCATCTGTAGTGTGGAGACGCATCCACCCAGCTGGGTTGGCCAGTATAGGAAGCGGGCCATGGTCTTCCACCAACACACAGCCCTGCATCTACACACAGCTTGACAGTGACTGTGTCTGCTTCTGACACGTAGAGAAAACAAGGCCATCAGGAAGGGAATGCAGGAGGGGAGCAAGGGCAGAGGTGAAGGACACCTGAAGTCATAAGATTGCATTCCTGTTTGCCCAACACATTAAAAATAAATCTAAAAATGGTCATCATATTCAAAACTTCAGTGGCAATCACAAGGCGTGATTTTTTTGTTTCCATTCTCTGAGTTCCTGGTGTCCTGGGGCTGCAGTGTGGTGGCCCCTGGTCCAGCCTCCAAAAACACCAAGATCATTGGAACAGGGAAGGCAAAGGTGGAGGCTGATGGTGCTAATTTCTCTAAATATCATGAAAAGGCCAAGTGGGCCAGGCTCTGGGGGGATGGCAGAGCGGGATTCACACCTGTAATCCTAGCTACTCAGGAGGCTGAGATCTGAGGATTATGGTTTGAAGCCAGCCCCTTCAGGAAAAGTCTGTGAGACCCTTATCTCCAATTAACCACTGGAAGCAGAGCTGTGGCTCAAGTGGTAGAGTGTTAGTCTTGAGCACAAAAGCTCAGGAACAAAAGCCCAGGCCCTGAATTCAAGCCCCAGGACTGGCACAGAATAAAAAGAACATGTTGGAAGATTCTGAGGTCTGTGTGCACCCCACACTCAGCAGCTTGGGTAACATAATGGATTGAAGAAGACCCCCTCAGCTTACCACACCCCCTCTCCAGATGGAAGAGACCCTTGATGATGAACAGCTTGCCTGCTGCCTGGGCCTTTACCTTCCCCTCACTGGGAACTGCTACTGAGCCCTCCTCATTCCAAGAATTCCCCAGGTTTTATCTCATTTATTTCTCCCTAGGGCCATAAACACCTTCATCACTTTACAGATGAAGAAACAGACACTTGAGGTAATTTGCTACCAGGTGCAGTGGTGCCTACCTTTAACCCTAGCTACTCAGGAGGCAGAGAGCAGGAGGATCCCAGTTTGAGGCCAGCCAAGACAAAAAGTTAACAAGACATCATCTTGACAAATAAGCTGGGTATGATGATTTACACCTGTGATCCTAACTAGGTGGAAGGCTGAGGTAGGAGGATCTCTGTTTGAGGCCAGTGGGGTATGGGAGGGGAGATGTCTGAAGACAGGACACAAGCAGTGATCCTGAGCTTAACGCCCTCCCCCCCCCACACTTGGTAATTTTAATTTGCTCATGATTTGCACTTAGACCAGAATAAATCAGAGTCCTCCCCCCGCAGCCCTCGGGTGCTGGCTCCAGATGTTCCTGGGAGAAAACTCCCGGGGAATTTTGGACTTGGAGGAGGCTGAGGACTCCTCTTCCAGATGTGAGCTGTGGGGTGCAGAGAGGGAGAGGAAGTTCTGCAGGCAGTGGTGGGAGGCCCATGCTCAGAGCCCAGGTCCCCAGCCTCCACCCCAGCCCCCAGCCCCAGCATCATGCAAAGCTCTACAGAAGGGACCCACCAGAGCTAAGCTTTGCTGGCTCTCTCTGGTGGCTGAAATGCAGACCAAGAATAATAGAGTCCCAGCCAGCCAGCTGAGGGATCTGGGGGCCTCCTCTGCTGACTGGGGGTTTTCTTACCTGAGAGAACTTGTGAGAGAAAAGCAGGTCTTCTGAGATGTCAGTGCTGACATTCTGGACCAAAGCCTTCACAAAAGGCATATCCACTGTCCCCACAATATTCTTCCCCAGAAGGTAGGACTCGTAGCGCAGCCAGTACCTGCAAAGGATCAGGGGTCAGCGGAGTGAAGTTCTTGCAGGCTGAGTTGCCCATTCATCCGATTCTTAGGTGACAGCTGCTCACTCAGAATATCAAAGACCCAGGGCTGGGAAGGTGGCTCAGTGGTAGAGCGCTTGCCTTGCATGCCTGAGGCCCTGGGTTCAATTCCTCAGCACCACATAAGCAAAAAGAAAAAA